TCTCTCTTTGGTAGTAGTTTTATAAAGAACTCACTTTTTTGAGAGTGCATTTTTCACACACTTGAAATTAGAGTTCTAAGAATTTGTCACCAATAGGAGATGTCTCCTTCCCTTCAATGACATGTCTGCATCCTTTGTTTCTATTCTTTGTCGCAGTATGAATGAATTTCCTCACATATGCAACAGGATCAACTTACCAGACGACGTTTCCATCGCATTCATCATTGGTAAGCATCAGCATTCTCAATACATTCACCTACAGCGTAAAGTTGAACGCCAAACAGGAAACCATTTCTTGGTGATTTCCTCCAAAGCGGTTGATTAAACTCTAAAATGAAATAACTCATTGTCGACAGCATTGTCAGAGTGGCATTTTCAGCTTAAATTGTATGGAAAATGAAGTTGTTCAGAAATTCAAAATCCTTGTTCATAAATCTTGAATTTGTGGAGCCATTTCAAAGCTACAATTTCAGTGTGTTTTTCCTGCATTCGTTTTGAAGTATACAGTGAGCTTGACAAACCCGAGGTTGGACTTTGAATGGAGAGCAGTATTGTGCTTGTTAATCATAATTCGTTAACTTTGAAATAGATTTGGAAGGGTTTGTTTTTTGGTATTGACTGAGATCTGTTCAACTCCTCATTGGAACACCCTCTGTCTGATTTTGTTCTCGGGTAGTTACAAGACGCTCACCTTGTGGCTTCAGGACTGAATTTTAAGATTTTTTTCTGATGATTCACAAAGCAAGATGAATTTCAGTAGCACCAATATTGCTCAAACGGTGAACAGGGACGTCAAAAGAGCCTCAGATGTATGCCAACTACAAAATGGCTGACAGTAACCCCTGTGGTCCATTGATCTGAACTGATCTCACCCAGTTCTGATCCGTTTCAATATTTGTGTACGTTTTTATCCCAGTTGATATCCTAGGCATACCCCTGACCAAGATCGGTGACATGCATTCCCATCTAGCTGTGCTGAGGAATCTGCACGAGAATCAAGTTAAAAATGCTGTAAGTAATTGTGTCAGTAGCTTATGGTCTTGTCATTGATATTGTCATCATTTCCGTGTCATTTCCAGCAGTCCTGTCACTTTCAGAACTCATCTTACTGTCACTAGTTTGTCACTTTCAAAATTATGTTATTACCACAGTCTTGAAGTAGATGTGTCACTTCTGTTGGTAATATTACTGTCAGTAGTCATGCCACTGTCCTTTGTTGTCATTGTCATTAGTCCTGTCATTTTTTTGGTTTTGTTTCGTAGCCCAAGTACTATAGATGCTCATTGCCCGTAGTTGTTACTGTCAATTTTTTTAGTCATCAGTCCTGTCCCATGATTGTCTCTGGTTGTGTTGCTGTCATTGGCCTTGTGATTGTCATCAGTTTTCCTTGTCACTGTCACTAATCTTTCTACTGGCATAGTTCTGGCTCTCACCAAGGTTTGGGGATTTGGGGTTTGTTTTACCAGGTAACACTGAGCTACAGAATGCATTCTGAGAAAGCAGTTAACAGTGTCATGCTGAAAAGTGCGGCTTTCAACACAACAGTGGATCCGACAAGGTAATTAACATCATGTCAACAGCAGGCACATGTGCTGGGGGGGGGGTGTGTGTTACAGACGGAATAAGTAGATTTGAGGTGTGGGACATAATGCCCAGGAGCTCAACACAGACTTGGTGTACTGAGCTTCATAGTCACAGTCATTGTTTGGCTTTGCAGAAACTGTCGCAGTTGCTATGCAAATAAGTGCAGTCACCTTACGTTTGAATCAGTTTATGCCTAGCAGGATTGAATCTTGTACATAAATTGCTTGTTGCATGACAACTGCTCTTTGAGCATCGGTGCAATAGACCATGGCATTCACTGTAAGTTGTTTTCAAGTACCGACACGAGATATGCACAACAGAGAGTGTACAATGGAAAACTTGCACTAAAGTGCTCTCATTCAACAGTGATTTCCAGCACTTGTGGTCATGGTGCACGTGAGCGTATTGTAAATAAAGGGTGTCATTTATGTTGCAAATTATGAAACTCGTGAACAAATCCCCCTCATCTGATCGGTGGTTCGTTGATCATGGGTCATTGAATTATTTGTCCAATGTATCGCATGGCCACATTGTGAAAATAGAGTTCACGTAAATGGAATTTCCATTCCATAGTATATGGAATGGAACTTCACTTCCATTGCATGGGCTTACGATTGGGGGTACCATAATGGAGCTCTTCACATAAAGCAGATGATGCAGGGATTTTACTCAGGCGTGGATTTATTCATGAAAGCAAGGGTTTTGTTCAGGATTTATTCAAGTCTTGTTTTAAATAATGTTAAATATTGTACAGTAGAAGAACAGCTTCAATCGATGTTAAATGAAATGTTCCATTCCACTTCACTTTATGGTATGGAACACTCCATGTGTCACATCAAGAAGTAAGTCTTACAGTTGCTATCATAAAGTGTTCATTATCTCAAGCATTGGTTATTATTGTTCCTTAATATGAATGCAAACCTTATTTTCTGTCACATCCATACTTGTTGGCAAATGAACTGGTCGATGCCACCATGGGAAACAAACAAAATAGTAACTGAGAAACGTTGTAAGATGGTGTCATGTGTTGTGTGTATGGATTTATATGATGCTAATATGTTGTACTGACAGAAGATGTCCACCATGATGTCAGCCCATATCTGAATAGAGTATTTTGTGGAATCGGTGTTAATTGCCTTTGCATGCCACAGTGATTATCACCATATCACAGCGGTAGTACAGTGCCCTTTTCCATATATTTAGAAGCTGACTTTTTTTAGGTTTTGTTTGACATCAATATGATGACAGTTTATTGGGCCTTATTCGTGTCGGGTTGAAATTTTTTTTGTATTAATTTTGTTCCTTAACAGATTCAAGTCCATCCATTGCTTGCTGCACCCAGAGGCAGGGATCTGTCCCGGAGCTTAAACTCGGCCACTTCACGATGTCTGCTTTGCAGTGATGAGCTCCGTCCGTCCAGCTACCGAGGAACAATATTTTGCTGCAGGTAACGCACACTGTTAAGGGTAGAAGTTAATTTGTTTGGAAGATTTTTTTTTGGCTAGTGAGAGAATGGATATACTCAGGTTTGCACAAAGTGTGCCTGTAAGTCGAGGGATGTTGAGAACGGTGAAAGGAGCAATACACGTAGCCGGGACATATTGTAGACTTTATTTTAATGAGGAAATTGTTGTAATGTTGTGATGGTCTTCCAGTATGTGGTGAAGAGTGGAAGTTTTGAAGAAACCAGACATTGTATTCAGACAACAGACGCATTGCCATTTGTATTGTGGCGATGTGGTTGATGAGTGAGCTTATCTGTTAATGGTGTAAAGATTTTGATACGTCAAAATACAAAGTTTTACAAAATGGACATTTTTTACATTTTTCAAATTAAAATTGAAGGAAAATCATGTAATGAAAACTGTAGAACTATATTTTTATCACTGTTACTTTTGGTGGTGTAAATAAGAACTAATCTGGGAGCATAATTTATAGTCATATATACTCATATTGTTTCCTCTTTTTGTATTTTGTTGATTAATCGGTGTACTTCCAAAGGTAGTATTGTGTTTTCTCTCATTTCTAATTGTTTAAGTGTGTTCAATCGTTCTTGTTTTAGGTAAGACTTAGATAAACTTGGCTGTGTTTTTATCAGCCATTTGTGTGTTTGTATTTTTTCTCTTTGGAATTTATCATTTTTGTCTATATTAACCACGAGGAAGTACAAGTATTTATTTAAACGGAGATGTCAGTTTTGTTATTTTCTGTAGTGCCAGGATGTAGAACATTGTCCATGTACATGCAAGTATTTACGTGTTATTGAGGAGTTTGTGAATATGTGAAAGTGTGAGTGTGATCATCTACATATCTTGGGTACTTGTTATCTACGGTAACTGTTTTTTGCCCAAGACTGCAGTGTCCTTGGTATGCTTTCAAGTGTGTGCTCTGTGCCAGGTCTTGTGTGGAGGGAAACTCACATGTTCATAACTTGACATTTTGGAATTTTTCACGTCTTATTTAAACTATGTTTGCTGCATGTGTTTTAAAGTCAGTTTTTGGTCTTGGGTTTATTACTCGGAGTGTGACTGCTTGGGATAGAACAGTTGTTGAAAGTTTACATTCCCTGCAAGTGTTTAATGAAAGTTTTGAAGACTGCTGATTCTTGGTAACCATTCTTTTTCTGTAGCTGGTAGCCAGTACATTCACTTTATTTACATGAACCTGTAAACACAGTTTTACCATTTCACAGTCGCTTCTCTGATTGATCTGCTATTCACCTTTAGCAAAAGCCCCCCGTCACCGGTTGCAAAGAGCCATGTTGGTTGGGAGTGTTCATTTTGCTGGTAGTAATGCGTACATTTCATAGTTATTTGTAAACCAGCAAAGTGCAGTTCTGACCAAAGGAGCCTCTGTTGCTCGGAAAATTGCGCCCTCTCTTGGTCCAGCTCGGGGCTCATAGAAGAGGGATGATTGCTTGGAATAGATCACGTCTTAAACCTTGTAATTAAACACTTACAGTCCCAGCGTATGTTCACTTTCAACCAAGACTCTAGGGCACACTGTAGGTTCTTTTAGTTTTGTTTTGTTTGTTGTTTGTGGTGAGAGCTTAAAATGTGAGGGTTCCATAGAAGGTTTGTAGCAGGAAGGAGCAGAGATCCTCTTGGGGTGGACAGGGAAGTGATGTACACAGTTTGTGCAATGCACCACTTGTAAATGACAGAGATTCTATATTTTTATACGAGCTACAATAGTTGTTATTCTTTTTGATTGTAATATACTAATCTACATTTGGAGTACACCATACCAGCGGCTGCCACAGAACAAGAAACGAGGGGGCCCTGATTGGTCATCAATGAAAGGGAATCTCGACGCACACCCTGACTTACTGATGCAAGGAAGAAGGAAATTAGTTACGTTTCCAGTAGTAAAATCTGCCGTTTTCTTAAAAATCAAAGTTTCATATCTCTTGTGTCAGTGAAGTCTTCTAAACAGTGAAGGAATATATCTATCAATGTAGTATATCTATATACCTATAAATGCCCAAGTAATGCACGAGACTTACTGTGGAAATGACCTTTCAGTGGATGAGCATAAGAACGTTCATATAATTTTTGAGAACCCGTTAGTGATTTGTCGTGGGCCGTAATGCTAACTTTGTCCACAGATCAGCAAACAAATTTTGTAGAAGCTGTTTATTATTATTATATTTTTTATTTGTTTTTCTTTGGGTAGACCCTCACTGCATTATATGGGGACTTTTTTTTCTAATTGCTAGGCAAATTATGTCCCCACAATATTTTTTTGTTGCCACAAAATTGGCGTTATGTGTGTCTGTCCCTACAACTACAGAATGGGTGAGTGTGGAAATTTTTTTCACTGAAGGGTCCACCATGCTAGCAAGAGGTGGCAAAATAGGGGTTGTTTGAGGTCAAGATCAAGTTGTTTTCACCTTCCAAGTAGACAATATGATTTGATAAATGCGTTATTGTTCTGTGGCTGACACGACGCACATAGCCTGTGCCCATGGTGTATTTCAGGGTCGTGAGTGTTTGGTTGATGTGTGTCAAAGCGATGTTTGTGACGAGATGTAAAATGATAACCTCAAAATCTCAAGTGTGTGATATGTGATTTTTTGCACTGTAAATGAAAGTAAACATTTTATCCATATTTCATGCTTGATGAAAAGATCATTCCAGTTGCTCCTTCTTTATATCAGTGTATAAGGTGAAAACACTCTACTTCTGCAGTCAATTGCCAGTGTAAAGATAGGGTGGTTGTGTGCATGCCCAAAAAAGGAGGTGATTTTAAATGCTTCTAAGGAATCGTGATTTGTGAGAAGTGACTAGTACCGTGGGAGGATTTTTCAGCCGCAGGCATTTGTGGGGCTACAGGTTTAAAAATCAGTTGGATGGCCTTTGCAGGATAAGGGTGGATGGGGTAGGGGAGAGGGACTGTGATATTCCCCCCCCCTCGAGCAAATTTATTTGTGTTTTTGAAAAAGCATGATTGGAAAGTGTTTTGTGAGGATGATTTCATGGTCTTTTCTTCCAAGGGTTTGTCAAAACCCCATATTAAAAAGGCCATAAATGTCACACAGAAATTCTGCAATTGTCGTCCCCTCCCCCCCTCCAAGAGGAGATACACGTGTAACTAGACATGGCAGTTGTCTAACACTTAACACTTGCCTAATGCTTACTACTTCTGACAGTAGTGTGGTTCCAAGTCTATAGGACTGCAAAAAGACTTTAAGATTTGTACCCAGTGTGTATTATACTCGGATGTTAATTCTACTCTTAGTCTTACTTATCCCATGTCATTTGAATATTTGTTCCCCTTTTTCTTTGAAACATATTTGTAGTATAAAGTTCCATATACGTAAAGTAAGTTCATGAATTATCTTCTATTAGAATGTTCTGGGCACTTAATATCCGGAGATCTGCCCGTAGAAACTAGTGAAGCTCCTTCAAGATATTCTCTTTGTTTTTGTAAGAAAGTTATCTTTATAATCCAGTTTATGTTTACACCTCTCTTCATAGTGAAACCTGATTTTTTTTTTAAAGCACTGTTTGTTAGTAATCACCCTTCTTTTGATGTGGTACAACTGTAATTCGAAGGCAACATGCATCCCCATGAAAAGTTCCCACAAGAATGGGTGTGGCAACAGGTGGTTAGTAATTAGTGGGAGTGGAGAGACAGCAGTGGAGGATAACAAGGATATTCACAGCAGGTGAAGAGTAGTAGACAATTCGAATACTTTTGTCAACACAGAGGTGGTCAGTGGACCTTTCCCACGAAATATGAAAATAAGGCAGGTGCATGCGCGTTACCACCACTGGTTGGTAAAATCAATGATGTAATACAAATATCCATGCATGGGCAAGTATTAGCACATGCAAGCCATTTCTGTTCTGGAATAGTTTGATATGAGTACCAGACTTAATGACAAGGAATTGTTACTGTCCAACCTCTGACCACTAGCAACTTCATTAAGTTTTGAGGTGTGCTAAAGTATCGGAAAAGGGCTGCAATACAGTGTAGATCGATCTTCAGTGCACCAGGTTACGGTTACAGCAGTTCTCATAACAGTCTGCATTTACCAATCAGTGGTAGAGCGTGCACGTGCCTGTCTGATTTGCATATTTCATGGGTAATGTTCCTTAACCTTAAAAGAGCTGGGAAGGGGGCAGAATTCCCCTCTACATTTTCTCTAGTGTCATTGCATAGCATTTTTCGTGCACCCATCCTTTACTTTTTTTCAGACACATTGATACCAATTTTGTGAATTTCTGACATGCCGTTCTCGTCAAGTGCTGATGCAGGTCAGTCTCAGTGTTTACTGTTCTCATTGCAATATGCGTAGACCAACACATATGAGGCCAGGAACTTCAGTTCAGTTGGCCCCAACAACTAAACCGTACATCAGATTTAATCCAAACTTTACAGGTGTATTTACGAGCGTCTTTTACATGCTTGCCGAGAAAGACAACTTCTTTGGAGGAGGGCGATGGTCCAATAAAGCCCAGCTCTTTTGGGGTTTAGATGAAGGGCATGTAGTCAATGGGACTTTTCTTATAATCGTTGTTTGAGGGAAGAACCAAGCTCTCAGACTAATGTACATGAAGAAATACCTACTGGAGTAGTTACAATTCCAATACTGCTGGAGTATTATTGTTTTGGAGTGAATGAGAAGTAGAAAGCTGAGTGGAGTTTTTATTTCACAGAGAGCAGGCTTAACCTGGAATGACACAAGGTGTACCTTTTTTCCTTAATTGAACCTAGTACCAGTTTTCATAGTCTGTATACTTAATTTGTTCCACCAGAAGCCAATGCAACCTTCAAGATGACTTAATAAGAAATACCATGCATAATTTGAGGAAAGTGTAAATTTTATTGTCAAAACAATATACCTATATACACACTGTACTGCAAATACATAACTGTTACTCGGAAGTAACAAATGTGACCACGAAGTATTCATTTGCATATTTCACAAATCCAGAAAATTTCACTGGAAGTAAGACGTCTGTGTTTCACTGTGAATCCAGTAACGAGTGTGGTGCATTTTTACAGATGTGATTGTGAGACATCAGCACAGTCTTCTTTTTCCTGTGAAAGTTTGATCGTCAGTTGGCACTATATTTTATTCCAAATTGGATGGTCGGCTTTTCATTTGGGAGGCAAGTTTTACTTCAAAGTCACTAACCCAATACTGCAGTTTGCACAGTTAATGAAACCGTTTTGTTCGTTTAGTTGCAATATCCTGAGTGATGTACCACGAGGTCCCCAACACCGTATGAAAGTGCATATCAGCAAAATACGAGCATGCTTACTTACAAAAGACCAATTTTGATAAGAAGTAGGCAAACAGGTTAGCGTTTAATCATCCATTGTGGATAATGACTCAAGTCCAGTCATCATGCAGGCGATAGGCAAACTTTCATTTTGGAGTGTGCCGCCTTTGATGACTGTTCAGCGTTATCTTTGACTGATAATTACTGCGGTGGGACAGCATGCACCTGTGTCAATCAATACATTTATGAATAAATGATTCATTAGCAGAACATACCATATTGTCAGACAAAAATGAAACTGGAAGATTTTTTAGATAAGAAAAATACAATCTACAAGCAGGAATCCATGCAACTTGCTTCAATTATTTGGTACTTGCATTCGGAATATATGAATATAAATTATTAAAATGGTGGACGGATATTTGGAATTTCAATCTGATTTATGTACATAACTATATACAGAATAATGCTTCACACACTGCAGAATGTACTCAAACTAAGCAAGCTTTCTATTCGAAATTGTACACGCTTCTGCAAAACCTGTTTTTCCAAAAGCAAGCTGACTTCAAGCTAGTAAGCTAGTAAGCTGTGGTGTGCCAAAACACGAATTCATTTTATGAAAACACCACCACCTCAGGACATATCTGCCAAGAAAAAAAAAGTCCAGTACTAACACCAAAGATTTAAGAATTTCAGCCGTTCTTGAAAGTGTTAAAAAGGCGATTTTGTTCAAGTTTCTCATTAATTATGCAATATATATACACACACGTTTTCTGTAGAATTTAAATGCTAGAAGTCATACCCATGGCTATTTACATATTTGATATGCTTATGAAGTCACACACTTTGAAATGAAGAAAAAAAACCCCAAATATATAATGCTGGAAGGCAAAATTAAGGGTGACGCATAACTACAGAAAAATTGAAACAAATCATCATAAAGTATCAAACTGGACTTCCAGTAATCCTTCCAGTGGACGGCTTTACAGGTGATCTTAGAAGGCTAACAGGGAATCTGAACAGAAATATAGGAATAGAAAAGAGAAAAAACCCTGGTTGTCTCAGTCCGCATGGCCAAAGTGATATTAGGGTATTTTGTGAGTGATCATAGCTTTCGTTAAACGGAAATAATGTGAAAAAAGGGCAGCCAGAAATAATCCAGTTTGGTGCATCGGCTTTCCATCAGCACTAAGTGCCATTCTAAACAGTCAATGTTCAATACATTATTCATGATATGGTAATGAGAAGTTTCATCCGCTGTGTGTTTCTGCTACTTCAGACCAATTCATATCCTACATGAATCTGAAAGTCATTGCCAAACTACTATGGGTGTGGTCCAAGAAGCAACAAGAGATTGACACCAATATTTCAATTTTTGTCAGGGATCAGCTCTTTATTTTCCCTGTCAACTTCAGCAATCCAATAGTTTCTCAACGACCTGTGAACACGCCATGATCCAAAACTCGGGTTATAAGCTTTCCCTGTCCGGACATAAAAACCACTTAATATTTCAGACTTACCCTAGTCATCCAGTTGGCAGAGCGAAGCTACCCCGCGGTTGATCCAGTGGGCTTGGGGCTTGTCGGAGGGCAGCTCCAGCATCATGACGAAGTTGGTGGAGTGGCCTGTGGTGGAGAGCGTGCCACGGCGGGCGCTGGTCTTGTAGACCGGGCAGGTGTAGGTGGGCACGGCCTTGAAGTTGGCCCTGACCCCGGGCTTGAGCCAGGTGACTGGGATGGTGTCGTACAGGATCTTGGGGTTGGACTCGTTGAGTCGCATGAGGGAGCGATCCCAACGAGCACCCTCCAGGAACAGACCCTGGGATGATGGTATGAGAACATGATGAGCAACCAGTCTTCAAAGATCAAATGCTCGGAAAGTAAATGTGGAACGACTTTTAGCACTGAAGTATAATGCACTATAATGGACGACGTCAGTCAGTCGCACATTTGAGACTAATAAGTATCTGAGAATAATTTAAGCAGTGGCACTAGAGTCTGCTCTCATTTCAAGAAGGTTGTTGAGACTAGCCAAATGACCATTTCAACCAGAACCTTGTTACGAAAGCACTGATAAAATGAAGACAAACAAAAGTATGCTAAAGACTTAAGCGGGGACAAGGTTGTTGCTCAAGTCCCATCCGAGTTAGCCCTTTGCAATTGATGCTCTGGGAGAAAAATGGCAAGTGCGGCTGAAAACAGTTTGAACAACTGGTGATGTGGAATGAGACATCGTTGGCAAGGCAGAGATCTACAGCATTAGCTAATAATGCAGATTGTACGGGGAAGACCTCCCCCTTTTGACGAGTCTTCAACAAGTCATCAGACCTGGTCTCACAGCACCTCGGAAGGTTGACAGCAACACATGGTAGGGCAGACTTTTCCGAATGGGACTTACATAGACGTACGCTCCGTCCTCGGCTTTCTCTTCCACCGTCTCCTCGTGTCCAGTCACCTCAAATTCAAAGCCAAGGTGGTCAATGGGTATGGTGTACTTGCGAGCGTAGTTCTGACTCACGCCTGTTGAGACAAAGAAAAATGCTTGATCACTGCCGCGTGGCTGTATTGATAGATCTGTGAGACAAAGACCCTTGAATCTGAAGTATGGTTTTTGTACACACGACCCTGCTATGTTACCTGCATTAGAATAATTTATAATGTAATTTTGTACAGAGTTTCAGCTGCAAACTGATCACACGACCGTAATTTTTCAAATCAGTGCTGTGGGTGAGCCCGTCACAAGTCCTCATACAAGTCTAGTCACAAGTAATAGGGTGAATAACGAGAAACGAATGCTTGTGTCAAAGTTCATTGGAATCGCTTGTGGCTTTGCCAAAGGCCGTGTCCAAAACGGGCTTCCAGAGCTCGTCTACGCGTCTTTTTAAATATATGATCACGCTAAATATTTGGAATTGAATAGGCGACAGGTTACTCTTTCCAAATATTACAAGAACCAAAAATTGACCTCCACATTAATATGACCTTGAAATATAAGAATAATAAATAAGAACGAGCGGGATGTGACTTCACTCTCATTTTGCTGTGACGGGTCACATATTACTGTTATCCCCGTACATTGGGTTCACAACATCAGAACATTCATGAAACCATCTCAGCTCCCTAGGGAGTATACTGGCCCCTTGTTTGTGGAGCCGGGTGAAGAGCATGGAATAATCCTCACCAGTGAGGAAGGACTGGGTGAAGTAGAAGCCGGATAGCCAGAAGCATTTAGGAACTCCATGATCAATCCAATCCTGGAGGAACTTCAACCTAATGATGACAAAAACAAAAAAAAACCAAAAAGGTAAAAAAAAAAAATGGACTGCAAAGGTAGCAAACGATCACCAGCCTTGTTGCTGTAGTTCAGAAATGACATCTCTTCTCAAAATATCAAATCCATGAGAGAAAAAAATGTTGTGGACTTGTACGATTTAATTAACCATAATGCATAAACAAAAGAAACTATGGGTTTTTTTCCGTTCTCGGTAATTAATCAAAATTGATGCCTGAAAAGAAGTATGTGTGCCAAGACTATAAGAGAGTGTTATATTACAAGAACAAAAATGAAAGACAATTTCTTGTCCACTGAGGTAGCGTAGTTCACAACTGTGGTTGTATCTTGCCAGCCGACTAAAAAGATACGACCTCGCCGTCAAACCAACTCCGTTTCGCGACAGATGAGCTTAAGTGTCTCACCTGGCCAACAGATCGATGATGTAACCTCCTAGTGGCTTGAGCGACGGGTAGGATTTGGCAGCCCACATGGCTGGTACTTTGCCCACCAGCATGCTGTCAAACACGTCTTCCAATTCTGACGACATCACCACCAGTCCCTTGATGGCCTTCTGAATGTTCTGGAGGGAGCTACGGACGACGGACGTCAGGCGGTTGAAACGAATCAGCTCCTGACGCAAGACAGTGTTCATGGACTCCGTGTACACAACGGGGTACTTCTCCATTACCTGAAGCAAACCAGTTTTGTAACAATTAAGAATCAGAAAACCACCACAAAAAAGGGGATTAATGGTGGGTAATTAATGGTGTGAGTACTCACATATTCCAGGTTGTAATCTGAGGGGAGTTTGGACAGAATGTCCACAGCCAAGTCCTCGATGATTTCCTGAGGTGATTTACCACTGCCTCCTGATTGTCGTGGTAAGGTCAGCAGAATACCATCAAAAAGCTGTCAGGAACAAGGGGAAACCAAGAAAGCTAGGGTTGGCAGGCAATTAAAGTTGGACAGATACGAGGCCAAAATGTCTGTAACCCGAAACACTTCAGGGATCAAACTACCAAACCAGACTCTGTTCCGAGTTATTCTAAACTGACTATGATGAGAAAGAGAAGCTGTCTATCTTGTCAAAATCTGTTGTCAACTTTGAGATATGGATATCTGTCACTGTTGGGCACACCATACCTGCTGTGTTTCCTGGTTGTCCTTGGTGATGTCAGCATTCTCGTGGAGGCCAAACACCTCCGGATGTGGGATGATGGGAAGGCTGCGGATGTAGTCAATGTAGACTTGGTATGGACCATCCGCTGGACAGAAGTAGTCACCGCTGTCCGAAAATCTGTGACATAAAAAACAAAAGGGTGTCAGGAGAACCTAAAATTGTATCAAACTTCTGAAAATCACTTAATTTTAGTAGAAAAGCTGTTCTTACGGGAATTTGTCCTCCTCCAAGATCCTGTCATTGTAGAACTTTGACAGGAGTGACGTCAGCAGACGTCTGTCCTTGTCGTCGGTGACACGGCCTCCGTAGTTACATTCACCAGTCAGGTAGGTCAGAGCATCAAAGGGGACATCGTCATAGTCATTCAAGAACATCTGGGAAACGGTGACAAAGACAGCTCATGTTGGAATAAAACCACTTTTGCAATGTATAAAAAAATTAAAAAGCAAGAGGAAAGTGATACACATCAAAGACCTTTTCTAGTAGGGAGAACTTCGGGAAGTGAAATTTACTTTTCAGTATCTTACCGTATCTGTAAATTCAACGCTATTACCAATGTCTCTATATGACGTATATCAGTGTGCTTATGTAGCAATTCACTCCAAAGACGACAGCACTGACAGCTTTGCTGAATGATTTCCATTTCAGAATTGCATACACGTTTGTCTTGGTGACCTTACCAATAGTTGCTTCATGCTGATCCTGAGATCGGACTCGTTGAACTCGTAAGGGATGTTCCAGCCCAGTGGGCCAAACTTTCGCCGCTCTTGCATGAGAGCGTGGAAGAAGCACAGGCCGAAGAGCAGCCTCCGCCAAATTTGGGGCTGTGTACGAAGAACGTAAACAAGAGAGGATGGTGTTATTTTATAAACCTCTTAGCAATGATTGCATCTGTTAAGCCACACTGCCCAATAGGGAGCAATGTGGTTTTTCTCTTCTAGAACCCTGCCTTTTGACCTCATTTTGTTCAAGTAGTAGAACTACGGTGAGGTCGGAATATCCCTGTTCCAAAATCTGGAGTATACTGATCCAAAGAAGTGTATCAACACTGGTTGGGGGAAAAAAGGCTCGAAGTGTGCCACATCAGGGGCTCCAATTAATGACAAACCGGGCGTTCTGCAGACCTGGAGGACAGGCATACCTTGTTGCAGCTGTCAAAGAACTCGGGGTCTGATATCGGGTCGTTGAGGTAGGAGCGAAGCAGGTTGGCACGTAATCCCTTGGGTGGCTCATTTGTCATTTTGACACCTGCAAACAAATAACAAACATGAAATATGAAGGTTAGAGTAATTGCTGAAGGTTGAAGTGTCTGCGTTAAAATGTAAACACAAATTATACTCTATCATAACCCTCTCTGCCTTACAATCAATCAATCAACTGAGAGAAAGAGAACAGGTGTTTAATGACAGTTGAAAGAGTTACATTCCTAGATTTTGCTTCTTGGATCTTATTTGAAAGCCCCAATGTTAATATCATTACTAATATTAGTTAACTATTTCTAGTGATGAAAGGATTCCTCAAGAGGTGTCCTAGGCATTTGCAAGCTTAAGGAAAACCTTCAGAGAAAAGAAAAATGCAGTTTTAGAGGTGGGTAGAGAACCCAAGAAGAATGTTCTGGGTAAAAACCAACTAAGCTCCTGCTTTTTAGCTCCAACTAGAATATACAACACTTTGCAACTGCAGTCCAATTTATGCTCTGGAATTATACTACCTTTTAATATGACAATTACACTGAGTTCTCACCATTCTGTAGGATGGAGACAGGGAAGTCGTCCGATGCATAGCTGGTCAGCCACAGCCGGAATTCCTTGTGGGTAGCCTCGGGCACGATCACCTCCTCACAGATCTTCTCCAACTTGGGCATCCAGCTGGAGGCCAGGTGACAATTCTGAAGCACCACCCAGGTGCCCTGCCGCAGGGCATCCTCGATCATCTTGGTGGCAATGGGGCCCTGGCCTTGGCCCAGGGAGATAGTCTGAATGCGGCTGCCTCCAAAGCCCCGGTCCTCGGCAAACTTGAGCAGGCCAGCCATGGGGTCAGCGCCGGGCGACAGAACAAATATCAAGGGGGCACAGCAGTGGGAGTCAGCGAAGCTACCCGCCAGGTCAAAGGTAGGCGGTTCGATGTAGCTGCGCCCCATGTTGTCCACGATGTAGTCCTGGACGGCGGGCACTAGCTTGTCCGGCCGTAAGCAGCGCAAGATGATCATGCGGGCTAGGCCGCCAGTCGTGTCAAAGGGCACAGGGTATTTCAGCTCATGAGGGGTGGCCGAATCATAGACTTGCTTCCATGTTGCATGGTTCTCTTCAAAATCTGGTAGTGATCAAATGGACATATAAACCTCATTAACTGTATAAACTCTATAAACCCTGGCCTCGAAATAGTACTAGGGGCTGTACAAATTCTAGTGAAAAATGCTCCGGGCTACCTAAACTTGGGTCCTTGGTTGGCTGTTGGGCTAGTGAACAATTCAGAATAAGCCTACCTGTTAAAACTTGGATCAAAATATATATTGCTTTTCGTGATAATAAATACAAGATCGCAAAAACTGAGTCGTTGTGGATGTGCTTTTACTTGTGTTTTTGAAACGTGATGCTCGCGAAACGTGACCGTGAATGCCATGCACAGAGTAGACTGGTGGGTTGTAGTACTGGTATAGCGTAGCACATGGTACGGCGTGATACCGCACGTGCACGCTATTCTTGTTAACTGTTTAGGCCACTTCTGCTTCTGACTACATGCCTCTCAAAAATAGTACCGGTAGGTCGGAATTTTGTTTGGTCAATGTTTTTGTGCTAATAGCCTGAATGGGGCTGGAAGCTTTCAAAAATTGTCTCAAACAGTGATAAAAACACATCTTGATATAAGTAAAAATTTCTGCAGTTGATAAATCACAAGAATTACGGACAAATCACACAATGCTAATTAGGTAATCACGATAGCAAACTAGCCAGCAATGTCCGTGTATCGCATAAGAGCATCCATGATGCACCCAGACTGGCAGGCGATAAACCGCGTGCCGTGGCAGGAACTTGTGAGCACAGAAATAAATACATAAACAAGAGCCCAAGTTCTGTGAATTAACTTAACGAATCCTCTTGCAACATCAATGTTTTTTCAACCTGCAGCTGTATGGCTGCATGCATGTACAACACCGATGTAGTTTTGATCGACTCGCGACCGGGACGTAAAGACTGGTCAGCACATTTCCATCACGCGTTCTTTTGCATGGGCGCGGCGTGGTGGGAACCAGCACAGCTTTGCTTTCATGCATTGAGCTTTGCGCACAAAATTTCACTACTGGGACAGCGAAACGTGAGTGGAACTCGTAAAAATGACAGAAGTTTCTTTACAAAATTTGCAAATGAAGTAGGAAAACATATGAAAACAAGTGTTTTAACACAAGAAAGGGTTGTTGAGAGGTGTTTTGTGAAGACAAAAAAAATTGGCATTAATTTCTAAGTTTTTTTAATTTTGTAAATTTGTTTTTCTAACTTGCTGATAAAAATTTTAGGGTCGCACCGAAAAATTCAGTCAGGAAACTGAAACCAGAAGTATTTTTGGGGGGGCCTTATCAATTTTTCTGACCTTAACTGACCACAGTTAGCTATACTGGGCATTGCAAGAGTCCTTGAAAGAGTTTGATAAAAAGTATACACAACGCTGCGTTCTGATTGGAAAAAGTTTTCTCTCGTTCACTGTGCACGTGCGGAGGTCAGAAAGTAAGCAAAAAGTGGCAATTTTGCCAAACGTAAGCAACCCTAATGAGAGGAAGGACGGAGCAAAGAGATGATTTTGATCCTGGCTCCATGACCAGTGACTCCAGTGACTTTTAACTAACATACACGCCTCTCTATTTATTTATACCATCAGCCTTTTATTTTCTGAAATGTCAAATTCTGCATTGGTAAGCTGATAACAAATTTTAGGTTTTTAAAATTTTTGTGTAAACGGGCTAGTAAAACTCTAAACGGGACTAGTAAAACATCTATTGAACTAGCCCAGTGGGCTAGCCAGGAAAAAAAGTTAGCGCAAGGCCTGAAACCCATATGATCACAATGATCATTTCCATTCCGCATGACCTGCGCATGACAACACTTCCTCAAAATCAGAAAATAAGCATGGGTGTTATCAGAATTTTTCTGGGGGGGTGCAAGCGTCAATGGGCAGCAAATTGACAAACCACAAACCATGGAGAGGGTTGATACTCAATACTGATGTATTTTCAAGCAAACTGGTGATTTTTATCCCGTTTCTTCCATCAGTGTTCCATTTTTTTTTTTCATGTTGGATTTTGACATTTTTCATGAGGGGGGGCAGGCCCTCCCTTGCAACGCCCATGTTCACAAGTACAAGTCTTTCCAGTGCCAGCACACTTGCTTGAGCCATTTGCTAATCTCGTTGTGATGCCACTCTCTATTTGAACTTACGCTCTTTGAATCCGTTCAAGGTGGCCAAGTTGGAGGAGCGCACGATCTCGGCCCAGGCCTTGTCGCTCAGCCACTCCGAGCAGGGATTGGGGAAGGGATTATCCAGAGCAACTCCACCTGTCAGCAGGAACCTCCACTCTTCATCGTCAATAGTGCCTCTGATGGAGAGACGTAGGGAAACTGGTTGAGCCAAGGATAGTCTACACACTACTGTAAGCCCCTCTTTCAGACCGAGAGTGGAGGGCAAAGAAAAATCCATGAAACATTTGGAAATGGGGTTGTCACAATGGCAGGAATAAAGTATCACAACTCTCAGGGACTTTGAATAGCAGCGGCTAGAGTCCCTACTAGAATGGTCATGATTACAATGTGAATTTTGCACTTGGGTTGACAAAGTGAAAGACAGAAGCAACACCCGAATACTAAAATGACCATGAAAATCCAGTATTTTGGGATCAAAAATCCCCAAATCCAGAAAATCCCTGCAAAAGTACACCCCTGCCATCTTGCCTGTCATTAATTGTGAAAAAAAAAGACAATAGAAAATGCTATAATGTAAAAAATGAGAACGACTACAGAAATGTTTTAAAAGAAGCTGCACAACTTATGGAACTGATGAGTCAAGCCATGTGGAATCTTTCTCAAATATATCTGCAGTCTTTTGCCTCGGGTACAGTTGGATTGGAAAAGGTTAAGGGTTGGGTTGGGCAGAGTTGGGAGGAGCCAAACTGGGCTGGATTAGGGAGGGATTGAGTTGGGTTGGACCAAGCTGTGATGGATTGGATCGGGTAAGGGCCGGGCTCAGTTAGGTAAGGTCGGGTAAGGACTGGGGTAAGCTGGGTTGGAGTGACTGATATTGCAACTGACCTGCTCTTCATGATGCCAATGCACAAGATGAAGGAGAAGAGAAGTTTATCCTTCTCAAAGAGTGAGCGACAGACATTCCTATAGATGCTGTCAGTGAAGTGGTCATTCAAGTTTTCTATCCTCTCCTCCAGTACAGAAGACTTCTTGCTGTTTTGAATAGACTGTAGACATGAGGGAACAGTTATGCATAAGATTGATATCAGAAAGTGTAGGAAATGTGCCAGAATTACAAAAACTTGTATCTATCCCAAAAATTATTCAAGAGCATGTAACCCTGACTTCGGCAAAAGTAATCTTCAGAGAATTCTATCAAACCAGCAATTTTTCTGCTTTCACGAATGCTGTGCACAGTACAGCATATCAAGGTAGTGCGGCAAGCAACTAATCAAGCAGTTGGCTTCACTTGATTTCTAACATTGGCATCAGCACTATTACCATCAATGCCACGGTCATCCTAACTGCCACTGTCACTGTCATTAATGACAGCAGCAACAGCCAACCCACCTGCAGGTACAAGTTGATGAACCACGTCAGAGAGTACTGGTACATGGGCTCAATGTTGGCCAAGTCAGAGATACAGAAGAAGAGTGTGGCCGAGTGAATGGCTACGGGCTTGTAACCGTTCCTGGTCTCGTCAATCTCCTTCTCGGTTGCTGAGGCAATTTCCTGCGCAACGGAACGACAAACGAGAGGTAACGAGAAAGCACGAGACAACTGAAACACTACAGTTCATACGCTGCATATGAACAAGAAATTACAACATGACGAAAAAAACACTAAAATGCCTCCATAAGGTTGTCTCGAATGACAGTAAAGTATGGAAACAAGTTTTGAAAATGTTCCTGTTTCGCCAAGATCAGCAAATATCATTAGTCAAATGTGTACCATTGGATGTCTTTGTGTGCTTAGCAAGATTCTAATTCAGCAGAAATCGAATGAAACACCACATTGGCTTTTGCTAAGCCAATTTTTTCCTGTGCTTTAGCCAATTTGTACGTCAAGTTGCTCCACAATACAGTGACTCCAGGGCCCAGTCACAATTGATAAGTAACTTTATGCAAATCTATTAGAATCAGTCCAGGACCATTCCCAGGAAGTATACACCAAATAGCATTTAGGTTGAAAACCTGCTGTTTTGGCCTATTTTTCCGGCGTTAAGCAAAATTTTCTGAGCATGAAAAAAAAACCTGGCATCCTGGGAATTCCCACCTGCTTTGCAGAGATCTCCTCCGACAGCATCTTGGAGGAGGACAGCACCTTGATGGCCGTCTCGTCTTCCAGGATGTTGCCTTCCGAGGACGACAGCACCTCCAGGATCTTGTCCTCGATCTCCTTGAGCTGCTTCTTGTTGGCGGCGCTCTCCAGGATCAGCTGGTTTTTCTTCTCCTCCAACTCAGGCTTCTCCTTGGCAGCCACGATGCCCAGCAGCTGGTCTTGTAGACCCAAGGGGGTGATCATGAAGTTCAGCAGGACGACCTGGCCACGGTGAAGATTGATTGGGGAGGGTTGGGTACATGCACTCAAGAAAGGTGAGAATTTGTATGATAAATTAACCCTAACCCCCTAGGGACCATTGAAATCCTGCATAACCTTGTTGGGTTCAACATGGTTAGGGTTAAGCAAGAAAATCCAGAACCCACTGCAAATCAAAACCAGGAACCAATTTATCCATATTCACAACAAGTTCTACAGAGTTTTGAGAGAATCAACCCATACAGACTAACAAGAGATTTCCAAAGCTCTTCAAAACGTAGTACCAGAAATTCTTTTTTCCCAAAAGAATTCCTCACCTCCCCCCTACCGGCTGATCTTACCTTGACAGAAATCTCAGGCAGGTAGTGAGGGTTCCTGAGTGTGGTTGTGATGTAGAATCGGAAGTCATGGGAATACTCAATCAGGTTCTCTCCCAGACGTAGATACTGTCAGTAAAGAAATGAAATAAACCAGTCATTTCAATTTAATATCCAACCCAAAACAACCAGTATAAAATGAAATCCTGTAGTCATTTTCAACCTTCCCTAATCCTTTGAAATTCATCACTTGAAGAGAACATTGTTGTATTGAGGTAATGCAAATTCAAATGGGGCTTGATGGCCCCTTCATAATACAAAAAAACAATGTACTCTTTCGTTCCCTGAACAGCAATGGATTTATTAGGTTCCTGGTAAAAATGCCATGTGCGTTGGAGTTAAAATATTTCACTACTTTGATAAGTGATCAAAATACTTATAACCAGTGAACCCTGTCGCAGTCCTTTCCCTTTTTTGCAGATAGACAGGACGCCATTTCTTTTAAATGTCATACTACACAGTGCAACAGCAGAGCTTTTATGATGGAAAGCTTCAATCCCCCCATATGCCCACCCAGAGTTGTTTCCGACGCCTCCAAATCTCCAGCTTACCTCCACTCCTTGTTGCTTGAATGTCTGCTTCAGCAATACCGGCTCCAGCAGAGGATCCAACTCTTCCCCAACGTTCTCCAGCAGCACCGGCTTGCCAAACTGGATGGCGTTTTCAAGGGTGCGCACGTAGTTGCTGTCAGACAACTTGATGATGGACAGCTGGTTGGCTTTTTCCATGTTCTTGACCCATTTGTTGGCCTGACCTGTAAGATATAAATTACTCTGTTAGATATTGCAATCATTTGACATAAATGGTATGTAAGAACGTCTAACATGAAGGCCTCTGTAGAAAAACTTTTACTTGTACCGCAAACAGCTGTATATTTTATATTTTATGCAGCATACGAGGAAGTTCTGGTAGTCAAACTGAAGGTAATTTACAGAATAGTTTGATTTATTTTCACCTAAGGGAAAAAAAATATTAAAAAAAATAAAAAAAACACACAGATTGTGTCACGCTGGCAATCTTGATTCAATTTCTCTTACAATTTTTCATTCTATATTTTAGGTAGCAAATGTGGACTTTGTGGTTACACAAAATTAAAACCAAGTTATTTCCACACTTCTTTGATTTGTGTTCAACTACAAAATATGGATTGTATCTCTCTGGCATTCTCCAATCAAGTTTATCTGAAATAACTTCAATGAAGATGTTTCCCACTGATGAAGATGTATTCCCCGCTCACCTTGCGGATCTATCATGAGAGGCCAACGGCGGGAGTTGGATGTTATGATACCGTTATCCACTGAGAAAGAGTCCACCGGTAAGCCAGCGATGTTCCAGGCTCTGATCTTGACTGGTTCGCCGAGGGTTGCACTCAGGGAGAAGGTGTCAGAGCATGGAATCAGTCGCTCCTGGCACAGCTTCTGCCACTCTTCAGTTGCTTTCTATCGAACAAAAAACACACAACATCTGCTTTCGGTTTCTCAATCCTGACTAAGTCTGTACGGCCTATTTCTCAAGAAGATGGCGACGGTCACTTCATGTCTGAAGAAAATTTTGAAATCTGAGATCATGAATGTTTAGAAATAACCACTACATAAACAAGGAGCCAAGAAGTTGCCCTATTTCCAAATAAAACTTCTTTTGAAGCTAAAAGTTGGCCTTAAAAGGGCCTGCCAGGAAATTGTTGGTTCACTACAAGCAGTGTATCCGCAAAATGGGAACAGGACAGGTGGCAAGCGACAAGAGAAACACTTTTCTGTCCAGAAACTAAAAGAAAGAGCAAGCTAAGAAGCAAAGTGGGTTAATTTCAGTAATAAGTGATATCATTTTCAGTGAGTTGTACAATAAAACATAATGTGAGGGCATGCCTCTGGTGTCTGTCCAAAAGCATGGGCTAAAAGTTCAAGTTCAAGAAATGTCAACAATAGTCGAAATGCTGCCTGAGGTTTTCAAGACTGCTTATCCTTTCTTAATGCCAGTAATTGCTTTATGATTGAGCACCGTCCGAGACCCACCAGTCTGAAATCCACCGTGAAGGCGCCCAGGTAAGCCACCACCCCAGAGGAGATCAACACATCGCCGATGATCTTGATGTACTTCTCCCCCAGCATGCTGGCCGCCTCGTTCCAGCGGTCTCGCTCCCCGCCCAGCCCGCCGATCAGCTTCTCGGCTCGCACCAGCTTCTGGGAGCACAGCTCGATGTTGGCCTCCAGCTCCTTCTTCTTCTGCACCATGGCGTCCAGCTGCTCGTTCAGGGCCTGCAGCTTGTCCGTCACAGCCTTGAGCTGGGCCCGCTTGGTGTTCAGCATGTCCATCTGCACGGCCAGCTCTGCCTCAGCCTCGGCCAACTTGGCTTTCTTGGGGGCTACCACCTGAACAAGAACAGCACACTAGCCTGAAGCTCCGTATCTTGTCTTTCTTCAGGGCCAAATTCTTGACTCTGATCGGTGTTTAGGTTGAGACCTCTTAATTAAGAACATCAGAAGACCCCACACGATCCCACCACCAACATATGACATCTAGTCTGATTTCAATAAACTGCAACAAAAGTACTCCTTTATCACTGTGCACCCAGTTCCTTGTGAACAATCATTAATGTGAAAAATGTCAGAGCTGTCTACTAAACACTACCTGGGATTGTCATTTGCATTTACAAGCAAACGTAAAAATGTAAGCATGATGTAGCTTAAGTTTGAAGAGACTGAACCGATTTGCAAGATACACACCTTTGCAACTCTGTCGTACACATCCATGGCTCGCACCCACTTACACAGACCCTCGCAGGCCGTGGAGATGTTACGGATGACAGACGGCTCAAAGTCAGGGTTTGGAATATACCTAGGAAGAAAGTAGGTAGGGGAAAAATGTACATTCAAAATATGGAAAGGGGTTCCGTCATCAGACACATTACAGGACAAGCAAGAAATTAATACGGTTTCAATCTTGTGATCATTCTCACTTTCAACCAGCCTCTTACAAGGCCAAAGGATAAGATTTTTGGAGGACAAAGCAATGAAGTGCATAAAAAAAAGAGTTGCCAATGTGTGACAAACTCTTGGGTGCTCCAAGGTAGAGGGAGACTCGGGGTACATGTCCCATCAGTATGCCCAAAATCTTCAACACCATTGTACAACGGCAATGGTATGCACGTCATATTTCCACCTGTCACCGTATGTGCTTGGGGTCTACAAAACATTAACCAATGAAACGAGGAAGACTGGCTATTCAATATTTATCAGGTGGATTGAAACAGTTGGTTGGTTGGGTGTAATTTCAGCGTACTTGTCTCGGATCTTCTTGATGACGGCGGGGGCAATGTTATCCTTGTCGTAGGTCTTGAGGTGGTCCAGGAACTTCATGTCGCCCAGCAGCTTCTGGGAGGGACCCCAGTAATCCTCCACCATCTTGCCCGAGCCGGAGGGGTCCGGCTTGCGTTCGGCCTTGATGTTCCGCATGATGCAGATGGCCTCCATGACCAGCTTGACACCGCTGGGTGGGTTCTGAGAGGGGAGGGCAGCAATCCAGTTAAGTGGTCAGTGTAAAATTCAAATTTGGGTAGCTTGAGGTTTACCTTGGGGATTACACGAGGCTACACAAAGCTTTTGTGGGGCACCTCGGGTTAAACCCTCAAGTTACACCTCGTTTAATTCTGCATTCCTCCGTTAAGAAACTGGGGCTTGAAGTGATCATCAGTGCTTCTAGCACTTCCCTAAATCAGTGCATTTATCATTTTTGGCTGGACAAAGATACATTCCACAGCCGCTGGTTCTTCTGAAGTCCAAATGTCCTTAAAGATGAGGTATCCATCACCTCATTTTAAGAGAATGAGAAGGCCTTAACATTTGCTTCTGGTACCATTCCTTCAAACGACTGCTTTTAAAGGTTTTTGGTCAGCTGACTACATTTGGTCAGGTGCTTCTTGGCTATTCTCAAGCAAACCCACAACATTTCCTGACATTTAACTTAGCATTGATAGAAATGCCAAAATATGATGGAATGGTATCATTCCAACACTTGTTTGAAAAAAAGAGATCTTGCCCGATTGTTAAAATTTTCCCAAGACGTAAGAACACAATATGCTAACCTTCATGGCCTTGACCATGGAGATGTCGCTGGGTTTGAGGGTGTTGAGAGCGGCTAAGGCTGCCTCCAATGCTGGGATGGCTTCTGCTAGGTCACTCTCGCAGTCGCTCTTGATAGCCTGAGCCTCATCGGCTGCCTTGTTGGCTACGGCTTCATCAGCTGCTACAACCTACACGACGAAACACAAACCATGCTTGTCAGTATAAAGATCTCCTTCACGGATTCTCCAATCTAACAAAACCCATCATTGGCATGAGATGCAATACACAGTGAAGTTCAGTATTTCTTAACCATGTTAGGACCAAGTCCATCATAAATCCCTGCAAGTCCCTACTATTCCATCACAACTCATCGGTCTTAAGCCAAGTTACAAGCTATTCAAATGAACTGTGACAAAAGCATGTCCCTGTCTTTGTTAACCCTGATACCGATATGAATGGTCTTGTGAAAGCCCTAATTCCAGATTTGTGGAGGGACTTGTGATGGACTCATCTATAACACTGTTTCTTAGTAAAATAAGGGAAAACTCCAACGGATAAAAGAAAAAAAATTTCAAAAATAAGCAAGAATTAATCCACACGAATGAGCAAAATATTCTCAATTTTGCTAGTGATTTAAAAAAAAATGCATTCCAAAAACTTTAAATTAAAACTTGGTTAATCATTAGAAGTGATTTGAAAACTGGAAAAAGTTTATTTATTTCCACTAGGATGTCAAAATAAGATACAGTAACACGAACAGATTGCTTGCTCTTTCAAATGTAAACTGAAACAAAATTATAGAAAAAAAGCCTTGTGAATCATTTCAGAGAATGGGTCAGAAATAGTTGCTGGCTGATCTTAGTCGTGGACCTGCATAACCTGTCAACTGACTGATGATTAACTGACCTCCTTCTGTGCCTCCACCTCCACCGTGTCCTGCTCAATCTTCTCCATCAGTTTCTCTGTCTCCTCCGAGGTCTTGATGAGCTCTGGCTGCAGTGCCGTCAGCTCCTCCTGCATGACGGCCACCTGGGAGGAGGCAAAGGCCAGCTTCTCCAGGCCGCCCAGGTAGCGGTTCTTCAGTGTCATGATCTCGGCCCGCTTCAGGCCCAGCAACTTCTTGAAGGTCAGGATCAGCTCCAGGTAGGAGGTAGGGGTCACGTAGTTGTGCCGGCGCAGCTGCTCCAGGAATCTGTCCAGAAAGGATCGCAGAATTTATTGACACGTCTACATTCTCTTGAATGTCTTAATATATTCTTGAAGACAATAACTTGATTATCAGTTGGAGAATCTTCTATTCACTGAGTGAATGCTATCTACACTTCTGACTACCCAACAGAAAAATCTTGAGATGCGAAGGATAGAGTCTCACAAGAAAAAGTCCATGAAGATTTGTTAAGGTTCTCAGAAAGCACTGAGTTTGAAGGGAAAATAAAGTAACATCAAGATCATATTTATTTTGTTACTTAAAACTCCTTTGAAATGCACGATGAGCACAGGGCCCTCCAAAGTAATGGTAACACAGTTGCACCACCTACTGAAAGAGATAGAGACAGCATCAAAGGCCAGTTACATTGTAAGATATATGGTAAAGTGATCCTGCCATTACTGGGGGCCTTCCTGAGATTACAGTGATCCTGTGCTCACATGGAAATGGTAACACACTGACTTACGATTCGGAGAGTTTGCGTACACTCTCATGGAAGTGTTTGCACATGAAGACGCACTCCTTGCGGACGTTGTCATCAATGTCTTCGATATCTTCCAGGAAGGTGTTGGCCACCATCTCCAGGGCATCCTCTGGCCAGGGCTTAAGAAAAGACAAACAGCAAGAGGCATTCATTACGACACTACACGGACTCCGTAATTATGCAAGCCCCAAAACAGGACAACACTGTCTGTGGAACACAAGCAGAGAGATTCAAGGGGTATAGCCAAGTCACTACAAGATGACAAGATCTGAATGAATTCTTCATTAAAGACGCGGACAATAAGCATCCATTTGCATCAAGCATCAAACTGCTTTTCCTTGTTATCCGAAACTCTCCAGGCAAGTAATTATGAAAACAGTGCAACGTCAATGTGAACCTGTGAATCGTAACGATGTACAACCTCCAGCAATAATCTCCAGTCAATACAGTTGAAACTGTTAAAACAAGACAGGAATGGTTTTTAGATGTACATACAATTAAGCCTGACAAACCCCGATGCTTCAGTCACCCATAACTGTTTTACACTACTTTGGGAGTTTTGGTCAATAAATAGTGTACATTCCTATCATTCTCCTGAAGAAATCTTCCTACGACAAATATCAATGTTTACTGCCTTGTACACCATGTGCTAAGTAGCACCGCTGATCAAAAAACAGCAGACGGGCAGGTGACACAGACTGTATGATGCCGACAGATCAGCGCCCTTACCTGGAACCAGTCGATGGTGCAGCAGTTGATGAGAGAGGGGAACATCCGGAGCCGATTGCGGAACGTGTCTCCGATGGGGCTCATGGCCAGCACCACGTGCAGGTTCTTCCGGACTTTCTCAATGAAGTAGTTGTACATGGCCAGCGGAGTGGCTTCAATCTTCCTACCCTGTGCATTTTGATGCGAGGATGCCACGGATTCAACAATGAAAATCCCACATAAATCAAATCAATGGATATCCATTTACCACATGACAAACTTGCAGTGAATATGGAAATTAACAAACTGGGAGAGTGCTAATATTGGACTGGATAACTCACTTGATAATGTCAGTATCGTTCAAATGAAAGAGTTTTATTTGTTGCAATCCTTCTTCAGTTGGCTTCCTTTGCTCAGCCAAAAAACAATTCCTGTCCATTTGAATTAGATTAAGTGATCTTCAGAAAAGCCTATCACTAAAACCCAATTCACAGCCCTGCTCATAATTTACATTATACAGGTATTTACAGTGTACAAATGATCTTATACTTATGTGAAAGTGTTGAGGTCTTGCTGTTTTAAACATTTCAAGAGTGAGGTTCGTTTCACTTTACCTCCATCCGAGCCACCTGCTGCATTTTCTCGATCAACTCAGCCTTCTCGTCGGCGGGGAACAGGTTGGGCACATCACCGGTGTTCAGGATCATGTTGATGTCTTCCACAAAGGACTCATCCTTGATCTGGTTGTCGCTGAAGAGGAAGACCGTTTGCTTGCCCTCGGCACCAGATTTCAACAGGAGCTAGAGAGAGAGACAAATCTCTGATTAGAGGAATGTTGAACAATTGGTAAGAAAGCAGACTGCTTAGGAAAACTTCAAATGAAAATGTCAAAGAAAGCTCAACACAAGGAACTATTTTAGGAAAACAGAGTGTCAAATTGAGTTGCATGACACAACAATTTCCAGAAAGTACCTCTTTAAGTAGATTACCTTTTTGATATCCTCTCTCCATTCATTGTTGGTGTAGTTCTTAGTAATCTCAATCTGGAAGAGTTCATAGTCTGCCATGAAGGTGGACAGCTTGGTAGCACTCTGACGACCACTGCCTCCAATACCTGCAGACAGGAGGAGGTATCAAGATATCCTGACTACAAGGCATGATTGTGAACAGTTTTAGCATATGTCTCAGAGGTACTTTGACAACTTCTACTACAAATACTAGCAGATCTTGCTTACAATGTATCATCACTGACATCTGATTTCAGTAACCCTGGCAGTATTCTGATTGAACACTACTCCCGACAGATGCATGACAAATATAATATAGAAGCAACCTTTCCCTCACTGTAGCCCTCACTAAAACTGCATGGCTTATGCTCTCTATACACAACCATCCCCGCTACAGAAAAAGCAAGAAATATTAAGAGCCACCCCCTGTAACATGGATTATTTCAAGGCAAAGACAAAGTGTGCACAAAACCAGAGAGGTGCAACTGTCATAACACACAGGACACTGCTGCTAGGTAACGCAACGTTTTTCCTCATGAAAACATGGGGGATCTCAACTCACTGATGAGCACAAAACCCACCCAAGTATTAACGCAGTAGACTGGGTAATTTTGACCATACGCCATCAGCGTGAAATTCCGCATAGGAAGGCATTACAAAAGGTCAACTACCCCTCTCCGACCAGACCCACCGATCAAGAGAGCATGCCCGTTGTCCTGCTTCAGCACCCGGCTGACCCTGGAGATGTGCTCGATGGCAAACTTGAACATGACCAGACTCATGGGGGCCTTGCTGATCTGATTGTACTCCCCCAGGTAGAACTGCATGGTGGAGGTCAATTCCTTCAAGTCGGTCACCTCGTCGTACACCTTCTGGTCGCTGTCCGGATTGGTGTAGTCGCCAAAGAACAGACTCCTGTGTGCAAGAGCGGAGGTTTTACAAGATGACGGGAACTCTGCACTTGTAAGCCGGAGGGCGTGGGTTCAAGTCCTACCATAGTACATGTGTGAAATGTTCACAACCCCTTGGCAACACTGAGTTTACAGTGTGTAAGCATACATTGGAAAAGGGCTCAAGACTTAATTATTCTATTGAAACAGTATGAGCAGAGAATGGTCAAATCAGTGACTAAAGAGCATTGTAGTGCAGCTATTTTATTCACACTGTTACAAAAACGCATTTTTCCAAGAGGTACAAGAATGTGAAATAGTGAACTGTGATAAATGTACCACAAGTTTTTGGAACTTGTGATTGAACAGTGTTCCCAGTTGGAGGACTGACCAAGCTAGATAGTGTTATGGTAAGATGACCACACTAGTGAGCAAGATGTTGAAGGTATAAGTTACGCCCAGAAAGAGCCCGTCAAAATTTCTCAGCAGCTGCCGGAACGGACTGGAAGCTTTTCATACTGTTATATACTATGCAGGCGAAGGGTGAAATGCTTGTTTATGTGTTATCATCTTGACATAAAACTCTTCTTCTTGCGGTCAAAATAAGTTTTGTTTTTGTGAAAAATGTCTTATAGACTGGTTTCTTCTTCATCAACCTCCACCTGTAAGGCAGAGCACAAGGATTATGAGACCTTGTACGTTTGAGTCTGTCAGAAAACAGCTGTTTCAGGTTATTAACTTTAAGGACTGACTATACCTGACGTTATCGTCGATGAGTTTTCCACTCGGTGTCAAATGGCTCAGCACTTTATCGACACTCGTCTTGAAGTGAGACTGAGTCATCTCCTTGACAATGTCAAAGAAGGTCAGTCTGGAAGAGAAACAGTAAAAATACTCGCAATCAAAAAAGAAAAAACACAGAACAACAAACTAGCAATTACAAATCTGTGCAAATGTTCTTCAGAAATTGTGGGTCATTTTGGAGGTCTAAAAAAGGCACAGATTTTATGAGGCATGTCATCAACAGAGTTTGAGCTGAAGTAAAAGCCGTGTCAGTATGACTTGGCTGTGGCTGGAAACAGCATAGATGCCTCTGGCAGCTGCTAGATTGCAGCTTCATGTAATTCCATGAAAGTCTGTGTTACATCAAGGCATAACCGAGTCATCTGGACACGGCTCCACTTTCTTGACATTTCTGCAAAGGAACAAGGAGAAGTGCCCTCTCATTGGCAAAGATAAGACAAGCTTGTGGGGAGTTTTTCAACCTGGCTCAAATGTAACAAAAAGGCCTTCCGAGCGAAATTGGTCGTTCATGCTTAGTGCGTCCTGCACCAAACATGCATGAACCTCCCTGCACACGTAAAGAGCACCAACCAAAGGACCATCGTTATTATGTAGAAACACACCCTTTTTACTTTCCGCTTGGAGAACATAATGTTGATGCATTTCTAATATGTGATTTGAGTGCATGTGCTAAGTCCTCAAATACCAGAATTGTCTCTGACCAGTGTCAGAGAGACTTAAAATGAACTGACCTGTCTTTGTCATCTACCAGGCGATCGTAGAAGACTCGGTAGACCTCATGGATCCAGAGCCGGATGAGCTTGTCCTTGTCATCCTCCTTGAGGTGGGTGCTGGGGATGAGCAGGACGCCACGGATGACGCGGGCAAAGTCGCGCAGGTTGAAGACATAGTGAGACTTGGACGGAGTGGGCAGAAAGTTACTGACAGTGGCCTTGTAAACACCCATGGTGGCCATCACCATGATCTGAGGTCAGATCAACACAAACAAATTAAATGACCATTTCAGTAATTGGCATTCCACAGTAACAATCTGATCATAGACGAATGATATGAGAAAAAAATAAAACACAGTGAGAAAAAAAAACTAACTGTATCATCCTCTAAGAACAGTAAGTTTCTCAAATCGGTAGTTCAAGGTGCTGTAAAACTACCCAGTCTGGTAACCCAATCTGCCATAGTCGCGGTGTACGATAGAGTAAAATCTTTCACTACCAGTGCATCCACTGACATAGGCTGTACACTAAAGCTATAATACACTGTGACTTAGCCTTCGTCTTGCTATATTCACTGGATATTGTGGTACCGGGCTAATGGCTTTCAAACTGATTCACAGGATGATGAGGCACATTCTCATCAGCTGTAAATGACATTCCAAAAACATTCCACACAACGTTGTATTTACTTGACTACTCACAAACCAAACCAAAAAGAGGAACGGTGACAGAATCTTAGGCATGATCCACATTACCAACAGAGAAAACAAATGTGACAATCATGACACTTCAGCAACCAGACAGGGACCATCTCTACCTACCTGATCACAAAGAAATTTTTGAAACATCTGCGAACTGCTTAACAATGACAAAATAACACAAACCGCCACTGACGATGTTCAGTTACCTTTCCGAGCCTGACGAAGGCCGAATCGAATCCCTGAGCAAAGTGCCAATCGGCGATGGCCGTGAAGATCTTGGTCATGGTGGCGTCATCAAAGGAGTCAATGGCGACAATGTTCATGTGTCTGGTGAAGCGACCAGTGATGTCATTCCGACCTCCTCCTGGTGGTCCCATAGCAGCCACTAATAACTGGACAAAGGAGGCAAAGACAACAGATTGAAATGTGGAAAAGGAATACGTCCATACTGGCTCCATGCACGACTATACTTTCAAGTGAAGAAATGCAACACTCTTACAAGAAACACAAATTTACATCAAAATGACCATGTCAAAAGAGCTTTAACTGTTTGACACTGGCCAAAACTGAACATCCCACATTTTCCACATCACAGGAAGTCTGAAAGTTGACCTTCCTTGGAATTTTAGCTTTGACTGAATTAGACTTCTATTCCTGCAGCCCCTAATTTCACAAAGGTAGTGAACAGAAACAGAGTTCAGCAAAGTTAAGCACTAAGCGAGAAATTAGCAGAGAATTAGTCAAAAGTACATTACGACATATTCCTACGCTTTCACAGGTAATTTTTTTCAGTGGGCATATGTATATCTTTTCTGCCGCAGCAGCCCCAAATCATGTGCTAAATAAGACAAATAGCAAGCATGATTTGGGCGTTATTACGTAACATTTAAAATCAGTGTCAGAGTCATGTGACTGGTCATGTGACCATCTTTGACTTCTGAATTTACCAAGTGTATGAATACCCACCACATCAGCCATCTCTAGTTTGGAGGTATCCTTTCTGTCAAACCAGTGGCCGTGATCCACCCACTGTCTAAGAAGCTCAATAGGAGGTTGGGCACCATACTTCTCCTTGGCAGGCATGTTCAGGTCGTCCACAAAGATCACACATTTCTTGCCCATGGGGGGACCGTACACACCTTTGCGCCGTCTGAAACAGTAGTAAAGGCATTGTTTATTAAAAATAATACAGTCTAGCATTTGAAGGAACCTCAAACTTTAGTTGGGAACTACAGAGATGCTACCATCATTAATACGGAACTGTTTGGAATCAATTTTCACAAATCACAAATACTGAGATCTTGTTCCAATTATGCTGCATTAGTAGTATACTACGTTTTTAATTTTTTCTCGTTTTTACTTTTTTCTCAACAAAATGTAGGTTCAGTAATTAACAGAGACAATTCCATAACCTAATAACTGACTACAATACCTACCTGTCTAGTTTGGACATGATAATATCCTGTGTCTGATTAGCTGACGTGCGGGCTGAGAAGTTGATGTTGTTGGGAATGTAACTGAGGTAAAAAAACAAGAACAAATTAAAGACTCCAATCCACGAATCTGAAAACTGTTTCAATGCTGCAGCCCCCCCCAAAAAAACCGCTGTGTATTGTCTTGATGACGAGGACACATTTGCAAACAATTCAGGCAGCGAATACGTGATGAGCAAAACACTGCTTCCAAATGATCTCAAAATACTGGCAGGGACAAATGTGAACAAGACCCCCTTTCATTTGGGGTGGGGACAGCTAAAACCAAAATTCCTATACTTCTTTATACGTGCCGAAAATCACCAATAAATGAAAACAACACTTTCACTGACAAATATTGCAAATAATCAACACCCGGGGGCTTTATAAAGTTCATGAAGGCTGATCACTCACTGTTCTTTGGGCAATCCCACCAGGTAGTCATTGGTAATGGCAGACTTGCCGGTACCAGTGGGCCCAATGAAGAGCATGGGTCTGGCGTGGGTCATGTAGGTATCTAAGAAATAGATCTGACGGGCGGTGTCATTGGTCTGGATAATCAGGTCGCTCACCTACAAAGTGAACAGAATGAAATAAAGTTCTGGGGATACAGTCTGGAGCAAGAACTTGGGCCACACAGACAGACGTACGAGGGGAAGACTGCGTTTGCTGCTGCATCTTCGTTTTAGCTGACCACAAGATCACAGTTTGCATGTAGATATAAGGGATGGGTAGTTGATTCCAATTTGATAAACTTACTATGTATTGTGGTTTGAAGATCCTGTGCCCTGGTGAGGGGTGCTGAAGTTAAATATGATGTACTAAAAACTCTTGCAACTCACAGAAGTAGGCAACATGATACAATGTTTTGAGTCCACTGAACAAAAAGATATTCTCCAGTGATGTGTGTTGAGAATAAGCCATGTTGAATTGACTTAAGATATCAAAAAATAGGTGCTGTTAGATTTATGCATGCTTTCCCTGCTAAGGACTCATCAGTGCCTGTGAATGTAACACTGACTGCACATAACTGTCTAGAAATAAATGGCAAGTTGAACGGATATTCTTGCATGATGTCACTTACTTTGGCCCCGGCAGGAATCTTGAGCTTGGATTTATCCAAGTAGTCAATCCACTCACACCAGGAGCCGCTGGCCTGCTTTTGGAAGTAGAAATCAAAGATGGAACCCCGCTCTGGGAAGGAGTTGCTCTAAAAGGACAAGTGAAAAAAGTGAGGAGTAAATCACATCAGGCATTTGTATAATAGCACATAGATCTCCAAGGTAAATGTAAGATGAGTCATGTTGAGTAATGTCACTCAAACTGAGATGTGAGTAATGACAGTGGAGACAATAAAAGGCCGTTCTGCTAAGGAGAGCAACTTTCAACAGAGCAACTAGAGCAGAAATAATGGCACAAAACAAATTTTCGTTCTGAGCATAGATTACATCAGCACCAATTATAGGCAGTGACATGAAATTGAAGCTAGTGGTGGTTTGTCACAGCTATCAGTCCACCAGTATCCATTCTACTGATGTGCTTAGACAACACCTGGCCCAGGTCCATGGATAAATTCATGAATATATCTGTTCTCATATTCACTATTCTGGTCAGAAGTCTCTTTACCTTGGTGATCTTGATGCTCTTTGGCTTGGGGTGGTCGGGGTGGGTGCCACTGATCAGCAAGCGGAAGAACTGGTCAAACTTCTTGCGACTGTCACCGTTCATGGTCCCAGCCAGAGACCAGACCACACAGAACAGGAACAGGCCCTGCAGCCAGAGGGTGATCTGGAGAAGGACCCAAATAAGAACGAACAGGATTGATTCAGAGGAAATTGAGGAGAAACAGCCATTAAGAGGTTCTGTGCAGAGGGCCTAAGCACTGAAAACACAGAACCCAAAAAACACTACAAGATTACAAGACATATTTATATGTTGGTGTCTATGACTGTATGCTGGTGAAGACAAAAATGTGCAATATCAAGATTGCAAAGGCCAAAAAAATTTGAAATAACACAGACTGGAACACTCTTAATTACTGAACTGACATTATTTTTACCCGATCAATAATCATTTTTTCCCCATTTTTAACACAGAAAGTACAAAGCTTGATATCAATGCTGGCTACATATTAACAAAAGGTTTAGGACTTATGCCAAGGGGAGTAGCAACCACCCAATATTAACATCAGGATAACTCAGAGGACTTGTTTTCTACAGTACACGCTGGGATTGAGGTTGACGACAGTACCTGCTGATTGCTCATGGTGTCGTGTCCCTCCGTCCCAGAGTCCTTGATCTCATCCATCAAGCAGGTGTAGAGCTTCATCAATGACTGGGCCAAATGGATGTTGGAGGTGTTGATAAACAGCTTACATTCATGACGAATGAAATCTGTGAGGTAAAAATTGTCAAAAGCGGCAAAGAAAAGAGAATTTAAACGACAGAACTCAGAGGAATTCATGTGTTGTGAGAGCATCTGCTGTTTGATGTTACAAATAAACAAAGTCAAAAATATCACTGAATTATTACTGAAAAGACCAACATCAAAATTGCCTTGCATTCGCATGTTACCTACTTTTTCTGTCAACATTTTTCTGAAAAGACAAATAACAGATTCTTATCAAGCAAAACCTACACTCTGCTCTGCATTGAATTCTTTTCTATTTTTGGTATTGTTTTCTAGTTTCTTCTTTTGATCCTGGAGTCATGTGGCCTTTTTCTTTATTGTAACACAAACTCCATTAACAACATAGAGAGCTTGAAGGTGCACAAAGGATTGTCCTTCCAAAAAATGTTGTTTTCAGTCAACTCATTCAGACATATTGAATAAGCTTGATTATGGACCACTGGGTGAACAAGTGGTCAATTCTGGATTCTCTTTGTGTCAGTGCAAAGATGGAGGAGTAAACAAGACCCAAAGTTTGACTAACGAGCCCTTACCAAGGCAGGGATCTACCAGCCACTCAAAGAGATCGTTGACCAGCTCCCGATGCTCCTGGCTGAGGGATGTGGGCAACGTGTCCATGTAAGAGTCACGCAGGGGCTTCCAGCCCAGCTGGTGAGGCTCCATGTAGATCATGCCGCAGCGGCTGACAGTGGCCGGCGAGGCCTGCTCCAGGTCGGCCGGCTCAAAGATCAGGTTCTGCTTGTTGGACATCTGGATGATCTCGCCGCTCATCAGACACAGCTGGAGAGATGACAAAAACACAAAAGACAAAGTTTAGAAACCATTCCAGAGCTATCAAACACAGAATGACCGAAGAAAACCAAGACCTTAACTGGTGACTTGTACTTCAAGTTCTCTAATAACAATAATAATAACATATATGACTTGTAAATGCACACATATCCGCCCTATTGGGTGTTCAAGGCACAGCAAACTTTTGAGACCAACAAATCATGGAAAGTAATACAAACAATCAAATTAGTCCTGGAAACTCATGTCATTAAATAGGTTTTGAGTAGTGATTTTAATTTTGTAGTACAAGGACAAGATCTAAGGTGAAGGGGAAGAGAATTCCAAATGCATGGAGCTGCCACAGAAAAGGACCTGTCGCCCCAGGACTGCCGAGACTAGGGCTCCTTGAGAAGTAGCAGGTTGCTGGACTGTAGATTTCTTGTAGGAGTGTAAACTTGCAGTAGATGGGACATACAGGTTGGAGCTCTGCCGTTAATTGCTTTGTGGGCTCTGCAAGTTCTCTTTGGTTAATGGCAGCATAATCATAACTATGAGAATTTGAACGTCAAGGGTGGAAAATTGTAAGAGTCCGACATAGTTCAATATGGACATAATTTCCAACTTTTCAAAGTGTCAATCTAATGGAATGGTCAAACCAACATTTGAGTCATGAAGCGAGAGTCAAAAATGTTAGAATACAGAAGTAGCCATGACAATCACACAACAGACCTCTCAATGTGAAAGGACGAAGCTCATGTTAATTCATCTTGCATTGTTAGACTGTACCTTTTTGTTGTCGTCCAGTACTGTGTTCATATTCTCAATCCACACAGCATCCACAGGGCCATCAAACACGATCCACTTTCTGTCTTCAGTCTGGGAGGCTGCCTGCTCACGGAAGGTATTGGCCAACACACCTGATAGCATACGTACACAAAATGTGTCGCCATTTATCTGCTGGTCATTGGAGTGGCAGACCAACTAACAGTGAGTGCCCAAGTAAGAATGGAAAACACACAAAGGACTTTTTAAGTGCCTTCAACCACGCAAAGTGTCATTCGTCAACATGAACAGAAACAAATTGGAGAAGTCCTGAAAAAGTCTCTTCAAGAGTTGGCCCTGGAACAGTAGAGAATAGATCAACCTGTGTAAAATCCTCTATGCCAGTAACTAGGGAGGTGTCATAGGTGTAGGAAACTAGCAAATATATGCATACACAAACTACACGTCCTTGATTATCAACTCACCATCGGTCCATTCATGGGACACTGGATCAAAGGAACCGTATAGCTGACCCATAGTGATAGCCTTGGGATTGATGACCTCATGAATGACTCTGAACTCCCCCATCAAACCAGCGGTGTGTAGGTCTCCCAAGGTGTTGGCCAGCACCTTGTAGGAGCTTGTCTTGCCTCCCATGGGATCGCCCACTATCATGAAGCCATGACGCACCAACATCATTTCGTACACCTAGGATCCAAATCAAGTCACTGTTATCAATACAGCGGCATTATAGAAGATCACACACCAAACCTACGGCAGAGACACTACAGGGGATATCAGCACTGTGGTGTTTAACGTGGTGTGTTCTAACACCGTCTAGGAGCTAGTCTTGCCTCCTACATCATTGACAGTAAGAGGCAGATCTGAAATTAAACAAGCGGTTCTTTGAGGCTGACTTGCACAGTTCTGTGCAGTACTGTGCAGTTTTTAAAGTTTTTTTTGGGTACTTCAAGGTTTCCAGTTAATGAGCTGATTACTTACGGGTCAACACGCACAACTTGCTGTTGTCATGAAAGAGCCTGGTGGCAATCAAAGTACACAACAGAGCAAAACCACAAGACCTAATCTCCCGCTTATCCTACATGCTTATGGCAACTTTAAAGGTGTTGATTTGAATGGAGTGTAGTCTAAGTTGGACGCCAGTCTTAATACAACTCTGATTAGTTAACGTCCAGTGTAACAGTTCATTTTGTCACACGGAAGAGTTCTACTTTTTTCTTACATTTAAACCTGACGGATGTTGTTGGAATTTTTTACGTTCGGAATAGTCCAGTGTTAACAATTTTTTTAGACAGTAAATCACAACTTCATTCCTCTGTCAAAAGAAAAAAATCTGTTGTGAAGACTCCTGGGCTGGTTCCCACCGTATCAAAGATTGCTCAATATTACAGTCTGCGTGTGTTGGTCTGGGAACCAGACTAGCTGCAGGTAGCATTAGTGTGTGCCTGTATTGCTTGCGTGTGTCTGAATATTCACTACAGAGGTACGGAATGGTTTTATATTCTGTATGAGCATGTCACTCAGACATATTTGTAAACCAATACTTGGGTAATTCCGGACAAAAGACTAGTTCAAAAACTGTTCAAGAACAAAATTTCAGCTACCTCCGTAAGGAAAAAGTGTGGACAAAATAGTCAAGACAAAAATTTTGTTGTGGCTTGAACTGATCCCCAGGGGCCAACAGGCGAGAACACTAATCCTTTGATCTCCTAATTGTACTTGAACAACCACAAATGTAGACTTCTGTGCACAAAAGTGCTCCATTCAACCTGTCTTGTTTGTTAATGATAACCTGGATGGACTGCAATGGAGAATATTCATGACTGCATTGTTTGTATGCATAGCGTCCTAACCCCCAAAAACTCAAGGAGGAACTGCCATAAACAGCGCGGTACCACACAGTTTATTAAGGTTAACCACTTGTTTGATTTCGCATTCTTCCCTCATGAAACCAGATGGCACCAACATGATCTCACACATTTGTTATGGAATTAATCGCTCCATCTGTCATTAGAGAGATTTAGCCAAAAGAGAAAGACTGAGACAGAGACATTCTTTGAGACCTATGTTACCAAGCATTTATATCTATCATTTTTTCAATTATTTGATTTTTTTGAAATGATGACCATACTTTTGAAGACTGGTAAATCACCAATGCCACCATTTGTTGTGGACTTCCTGGCAACCAGTTCCGTGACAAGACCACAGGTAATGAATTAATGTTCCCTCCATGGTTACAAATGACAAATTGGGTCAATTTAACATGCACATCAAATCCAAGTCAACAAGAATTAAGTATTCATATTTCACTGAAATGATTTAGAGGCTTCGTTAGCTGATTTATCTTTAACATGACAACCGTTTATAGAATTTTAAATCAGGGTTCACATGTTGCTCAATTGGGCTTACTGAGATTTTTGGTACCATCGCTGTTTTGCACACTTGTTCCTGCAAACTGCTACATACTGTACCTGGATGATTTTCTCAATGAACCATGGGACTGGCTGCAGACCCAACTTCTTGATGTTCTCATTGAGTGTCTCCAGGAGGACGGCATAGTCTGGTGTCGGAAGAACCACACCGGGGAACAGATCGCTGATGATACCCTCGAAGAGAGGCACATCCTGATCAAAACAAGGAAATTGACACATACACCAGTCATTCTAAAAGTGCTGAGGAAAAGCAGCCAGTGACTCGTCAATCAATTCAACATGGCCGACTTGCATCATGACAAATAACTACGCCCCACACTGATTGGTTACTGAGGATGGTGAAACAAAATCCAATAAATGATAAACAAATCCTGACATGTATGAGAATTTTCAGTTTTATTGAAGGAGCACTTTTGGTTTGTGACTAACTTCTTAATCTGACATCTTTTGACTGATTTCTTTTTTTACCATATTTTGAAATACTTCTAAATTCCTGTTCAATATGAACAGAGGTTAACTTTGTCAGTCAATGAATGTCTGATTTGAGTTTCCTTACCTGGGCTAAGAACTTTGGCAAGTTAACATCTTTGATGGCGCGGAGTACCAGCACTGCCTCTAATTCTTCGGGGTACTTGAGCTTCAGGTTACCAGCTGCTGTCAGGACAGACTTGACAGCACGCATGCCGTAGTCGTAGTGATGCTGCGAAGACAGCAACTCAGAGCACAGCTTGTAGGTGGCCACAATCTTACCAGCCAGACTACGAGCGTCCACAAAACCCATGGAGTACAAGCTGATCTCGGCAATCAGGGCATAGTCTGGTACCATCATGGCCACCGTGCGGAACAACACCTGCAATGAAAAGAAACAAGACAAAATTATTAATAAAACAACGCGACCTTTGAGCTAAAACAGTCTGGAATACTCTTGGAATCCACATGCAGTAAAATACCTCTGACGAAAAAGACAGTGCCATTACCACAGCCCATGCAACCATTGGCACCACTTCCTTCTGGAACAATTGATTCTAAGAGTACACCATGCTGTCAATATAAATATATGAAACACAAGTTGTTGCTAACAGTGAGAACGTAGTCTAGTACCATTTTGACTCCGATGTGGAATGACACTATGAGGAAAGCACCCATAAAGTCTATGGAGTACAGCGTGATCTGGAGTGCGTCTTTAACTCGGCCACCCAGACTAGGTTCCTACCTTGAGATTGTCAGGAAGGTCGGAACGCCCTGCATAGCCGGGGTTCATGGTGATGAACATGGTACAGGTGGGATTCAACGTCAGCTCGGTGCCTTCAAACTGGAACCTCTTGAGGTGCTGCTGTATGGCGCGCTGGATGCTGAGGATCTGCTGGGCCACCACCGACAGCACCTCCAGCTCGATGCGGTTGAACTCGTCAAAGCAGGCCCAGGCGCCGGCCTGCGCCAGCCCCTTGAAGAACTTGCCCATGGCCTTGTAGTCTAGGCCGTCCGAGCAGTTGAACACCACGCACTGCGAGACGAAAGAAGAATGCAGAAAGTCAGGTCTTGACAATCGATCTTAGAATGACTTTTTTCTTATATCATGGCATAAGGGTCTTTGAGGGCAATTCTGGACATGGTGAGGGAGAAAACGTCATCCATGAAATAGAGATGATTCTTCCTGGACACTGACAGGGAATACAGATTGATTTCCCCAATGTCAAAGTGGAGCCCCATTTACAGTGGTGTTCAACCAGTCAGATGTCATTTCCTGTGAGCATTACCTGTTTGGCCACAGCCTTCGCCAAGTCTTTGCTGGTCTCGGTCTTGCCAGTGCCGGCCGGTCCCTCAGGGGCTCCTCCAAGATTCAGCTTCAGTGCTCCCATCAGTGTCCTGGAAAGACATCAGACTTGTAAACATCTCCAAGGGCTTGGGACAACTGGCTAGAGTTTTACTACAGGAATGTCTAACAATCACTTTAAACCCAAGGGCTCTGGAATCACTATTAATTCATGACGAACCAGCACACTACCCACTCCATGGAATTTGACAAGTGATGACCTATGCTGGCCATTCATTCAACTAGCCCTGTGTTGATACCCCTGAAGTAGATTTTTCTTCCAGGTGTAAAGGTCAAAAGTCATCATACGGACATGCTGTGCACAGCCAGAGATCTCACATCAAATACCGAACGGAAACTGACGGACTGCATGCATCAATGTTCTAGTAAAGCAAACAGTTGACTGGAATTCAAGCTTACAACTATTTCAGTAATAAACACCTGCTTTACAAAGGGCACAATCCAGCTACGTGCTTTCCAGCTACGCCTCTCAGAACTAACTTTATCCTTTTTTTGTAGTTGTCAATCATGACAGACTTACCTGTAGCATCTATCGGTGAGCGGGGTGATAACAAGTCGGCCCGAGTTGCCCAGGTACTCGTAGCCATAGGCGATATCAGTGGTGATCATGTGAACGTTGACGTTGGTCCCGTCGAAGTAATAACGCAGCTGAGCGATCCAGTTGAAGTCGTTGGTGCTCTCCACACCAAGGTTCCCTAACTGCTCCACGACATCGCGTGCTGGGGGGGGTGGTGAAAATGGCACATTGGTGAATTTTGTTTCAGGCAATCTGTTGTAGTCTGGACACGCTAAGACCATCACAAGACCAACATGACACCTCCAGTCTGAATTCAAGTCACAAGCTAGTCTAACGAACTCCAATCAAAGCATTCCTTTGTCATTGTTCACCCTGTTACTTGTGACTGGTCTTGTGAAAGGTCTTGTGAATGGTCTTGCGTCTGGTCTGGTGACTGTGTCCATTACAACAATGTCTGCAGAAGTAGTGCGCTGCCAAGGATCTGAAATCTAAAACACAGCTTAATGCAACCACTGCTCTTGGTCAGTAGAAAAACCAACTCAGAGACACCTACCGTGTACATCAATGACAGTCAGGGCCCCCAACGTGACCCGAGCTCCGCCCTCCAGCTTACCACGCACCAGCTCAACAATCTCTGCCAACTGCTTGTTGCTCTGCTCTAAGTATTTCTAGCAAGACAAGAACAAAACCCACTGTGCTAATAATTTGTGTCTGAGAAGGACAGTGCAGATTTCCAACGGCCCACTTGCGTGTTAATGTTACATTATTCACTACACGGCAAGGTACTGACGTGTTCACAGGCACCACTCCAACCACCAAGATGGTCAACAAAGGAGTCTTAACATCATCTGCAAACCCTCTGTTGCTTTGTACGCTCTCTCCCTGGCTATTAGCAATGAGCTTAACCATTTCCTCAACCCGACGTACAGATTCAGTTCATCCTGTGTGCAAACGTTCCGTGTTTCATACCTTCAGCCCGCCAGGCTCCTTGATAGCCTTAGCCACCTCCTGAGTCCAGTAGATCTGGGTGACGCACAGTACCACCTGCCCCGCCCAGTCCAGCACCCACTTGTTACGAGGCAGGTTGGCGTAGGCAGCCACTCCCTCTTGGATGACCTTACGCACGCTGGATATCATGACTTCCTCTACTTGCAAGAGCCACTTCTCAACCATTCCCTGAGTGATGGTGGCAAGTAAATGTCATTACAACCGAATGCATGAACTCAACACTGCATAGCTCAGTCACCAGTGAATAGATTTCCAAAAAAAAAGGTTCACAAACAGTCAATGGCTATTCACCATCTTGACCAGCCATCCTTCGAGGAGGAAAGAATGTTGTCTTGAAATTTAGGGATAAAATTTATGAGAACGCACGTTTTCAGCAACTTGAATTTTCATATTAAGTCTCAATTGATGACTTTTAGGCTAGGGAAGTGCTTTTCACATACAAAGTTAACAAATAATGTGAAATGAAGTGAAAAAAATGTGGGCATTGTGTAAGTGCAAATATTCCTTCATAATAATATTACGCATCATCGGATAGTTTCCTTATTGTTACCTTTGCCTTGGCTGGGAAGATCTTGGTTGCAAACGGCACGGTTTCCTTCTCGGCGCTGATCATGCCGACTATCTCCTGCTGGTCAGTGAACTCTAGCTTGGCGATGCCTTCAAAGCACTTCTTGAGGTGAGGCTGGACACGGAGGGGATCTTTGGTCTCTGACAGGATCTCCAGCAGCTCATCGTTGGACAAGAAGAAGAAACTGCAATCCCAAGAACAGAGAGCGAGAGAGAAATTACACCCTAACACCTGCTGCGAGTTTGGTTTTGTGGCCAGACAACTGTATAATCGAGCAATATACAATGGTGAAAATGTCGAGCTCACACATGAGCTTGCATTTTTGAAGTGTCAATCGCAAGAAGGTAAAAACAAGCTTTTCCCCAACAACTAAGCTAAACACTCGGGCCTGAAGTGCTTCCAGTAATATTTTGAACATCAGCAGGCAAGTTATTCATGGTGGAGCAACATGTTGATAAATCCAAGGAGATGGCATTACTATAGCTGCACCATGTGACACATGCGTATATTTTGAAAAGATGAGACATTATTAGAAGCAATATTCAAAACACCTGTGGGAACTGTGCAATGAGCATGGTGCCGCCATAATGATGATAATTCTTGTAATTCTGGTCATTAAATTGGTCTACAACAGCACTTTTTTTTTCTCACCGTGGGAAGTAGAGGCGCTTCTTCTCCAGGTAGTTGTTCAAACCTTTCTGAATCTCCTCTAGGAGTTGATTAGACTCGTTGAGACGGCCGAGCATGTTAGGCTGGGCTGTGCATACCAGGGCCTTGGTGTCTTTAATCTGTGACAGAAGGACAGACAGAGAATATCAGGGTAAGGTGTTTGCACAACTACTTCCACATCGGTAAAAAAACCCCGTTAGCTGGGCTCCATGCTTACAGTCATTCATCGCATACCAAAATTGGCCGGAGACAAGTAGATGGGGATATCTGTTGTCTTCTCATTAATCTCATCAGTGAGAGTTGAGTTTGACACACAGAACAACTAACATTGCAACCAGGCTCAAAACTGAAGACAGAAATGAACCAGTCAGGCAGCACTGACAAGCAGTAAATGTACAATATATCAGTAACTGGAATTCTGTAAATTTCAATTACATTTGTTTACTCTATTGTCAACGTGTCTTTTAACTCTAACTTGTCAATAATTTTTGTTTCAGATGTTAACCATCCCTTTTCTTCATTCCTTTTCAAGACGCAAAGTTCTCCTCTTAACATTTGCACATTTATTAATGAAATGTTTCAATTGGTTTTTACTTTTTTCTAACAGATGGCAGTTTCAAAATGACGCATCAACTCTGTGAATGCACAACTGCCAATGCATCAAATCGAACACAGCCTCACCGCTTCCGTCATGATGTCTTTCCAGTAGCTGTCTACTATGCCAAACTTGCGTCCCTCCTCGGGCATCTGGGCCATGATGTCCTCAGAGCTGAAGATGGGTTCCAGGTAGAGCCAGGTGGCCTGGCACTTCAGCCAGCCATCTAGGATGTCTTGCATGGTCACCAACTTCTCCTCCCACTCCTAATGGAAATATGTATTACCGTTACCACTGCTCCTCTACGCTGGTATGAAGACTACCATTCAAGTTAGATCACAGTTAACCAGAGATGGATTCCAGTGTTCTCGAGTTTCAAGTCAAGTAACAAACAATTCAAATGAACTGTGACAACACTGGAATTCCCTTCGACCTGTCACCCATTTTTGATTAGACTTTATGGATTACTTTTGATTTAATCTATGACGGACCAGTGACTGACGTAAGATTCAGCCTGCGACTGACTTATGATTTGACTAGTGATAACTACTGAATAGATCTGTAAGTCACTTGTGAGTGACATCACAGCTCTACAGTAAACCCCAAGGAGGACTTTCATTTAGTCTGTGGAATTATGGTTGCGTTGTTTGAATTTGGTAGAGAACGGAAAGGCTGAGAATAGATATGATTGGAGCTTTGCTCACATGGCATCTTGACAATGCAATGACAACCACTTTACTTAATCAACAGGAAAGACGGTCTATTCACAAGTATCCACATCAATGAACAATTATCTAGGCAGTGGGTCACCAGCTGTTTTAGCCCAACAGTACTTGTAACACTTGAGGCTTAAGTCACATTGTCTGCAAGTGCTAAGTGTACACGCATGCACGCACCTTCATTTCATTCTCAAAGGGTTTGATGTACGGCGAGCCCCTCATGGTCTGCACTTTGACGATGTGATCATCCAGAAGCAGCTGGATCTCATCGACACTCGACAAGATGGACACGCCCTGAAAACAAGCACCAACAACATCGGCATCAATCACATCCTGAATGACGCTGCAAGTCAGGTAACCTGTCTGTATCAAATCCACAAGGAAAGACAAGCCTTGTACACTGACGTTGTCAATTTACCCCGGTGGCTGATGAGGTAACATGAAGAGATTTCCGGTCCACATGTTCCCCACACTGCTGTTTCACAGTTCTCCAATCTACAATGTTGCTGGCAAAAGGATCTTCTGTGGGGGTCTTAAAGCGAGGACTGCGTGGCCTCTTACACGTACTAGCAACCACGGACAGATGGAAACTATCGACACAGGGCTGGATAGCACCGGTATTGTATTTAAGAGGTCTTAGGTTTGAAAGCCTTTTCCGTCAAGCATTTTGGAGTGAACAAGAAATTGTCACCGTAGAGACATTATACAATGGTGTTGGTCTCAAGAGACATATCCTACTCCTGAAGTGAAAAGAGAATCCCGTTCCACCGACTAAACACTTTAGGTGTGTAACCACAGCAGTGTCACACTTACAGTATCTCTGTATGGGACAAACTCAAAGTGTACATCGGCCCATTCGGTCTTCATCTTCTCCAGAGCCTTCTCCAAGGAGTATTCCTTGCTGGCTGCAGCTCCTATCTCCTCAAGTCTGAGAACAAACATTGGAAAGTCACGCCTTGATGACTTGGTGTTTCAGGACAAGAATTGTTTTTCATTTGGTATAGAAAAGACAACGGTGTATCCAGGTTTTGGGTTGGGGGAGGGAATGCAAAATTGATTTTTTAAAAGTGACAGGCCACTTTTGTCCATCCATAAATACTCCTCACTGTGACCCCCCCCGATGGTGTGCCATTTTGACAATTCTATTTACAAAATTGGCAACACGACTCAGAGGGAGGGGACTTGCCCAACTCTTCCCCTTCCTTGCCGCCCCACTGGATATGCCACTTGCCAAAGACCTTCTTGGTGACTGTTCGTTCTTGAGATATCAATCACTCACATCTGTTGTCACAAATGTCCGACAGCCTAAATCTGTCACGTTTATTTACGTGCCAGTAGTTGTGATTGGGCCCTCTTGTGTTGGCGACCCCTGACCTCATTGTTCTCGTTTTGGCTTTACTCAATATCCTTGTTTTGCCTGTGTGCATTAAACTTCCTTTTTTTCCAACAAGGCGGTTTCACAGTTGCGGTTCTTGTGTGTCTCAGGGACCTCCTCCCATTACTGGCGACAGATATTGCATATCAGAGAGGCAGTACGAGGTAAAAACCTAGGTGTTACTGGCCAAAATTTGAAACAGGGTAACAGTCTAAATGAATAAGGAACAGGTTTACAGATTCAGAGTCACAGATCATTACAACGTAGGCAATATTGATAAGGAGAGACCAAGTTGTCCCGTGACGTCAAGAACTCACTTTTCAAGGTGTTTGGTCAGTCCCAGCTCCAGCATATGATACATAGAGGATTCAGGCTTGGGTTTCAGCTCAAAGCCAACTATCTCGCTCATCTAGGATCAAATTCAGACATAAACGATGTGCGCAATGAATTGCAGGAAATAAAAACAGAATGATTTGTAACTGCAGACTTTATCTGCTGTGACCTTGATACATGTGCTGTATGGCAAGGATATCCAAACACTTGTGTGTCAGATTTCACTATCTGGGCTTTGAATTTTCACGTCTGCCCCTCAGGAATTTTTAAAACTTTTTTTTTCATGAGAATTTTGAAAAAGTTATCCAATCAAGGTTTACAAATAAAAATGTCACCCCAAGTAAACGGTAAGCAACTAGGTCTCAGCTGCACTGTGCACTTGACCGGAAGCTCAAACATTTCAATGTGACTTGACTGTTGCTTTGGTTTCGACCCACCTGTTCCCAGTGGCGATCCCTGATGCCAGGATTACAGATGACCCCCAGCAGGGGCAGGTGGACTTTGAACTTGTCTATCTTGCTCTTAACATTGTTGGCGATGCGCTGCGGGCCGGGCTGGTCGTTGAAGGAACGGCTGAGCTTGTACATGGTGCGGAACATCCCGTCCACCTCGTCATTCACCTGCTCGGCGTTCAAATCTTGGAAGGGACCTACAAATGGAAACGCTTTCTTCTTGAAATAACATGCTCGACGTTGCCAACACATGAACATGTATTTTCTACATTTGTGCAAAACAATGAAATATTGAACTGGATGTAAGGCATGAATCTATGAGAGCCAATGGGGGGCAAACCATGAATCATGCAGCCAGACAAAGTAGATACCATGGCAGTGAACAGGCAGTACTGGTAAAATCTACTGCTACCTAAAAGCATCAGTCATTCAAAAGCACCATTCTCCTTGCTCACTCGGCTCACAACATCTGAATATTCCTGAGATCATCTCAGCTCCCTGGTGTGCATACTAGCCTGATGCTGCCATATTAGACTTGAAGGGCTAAACATAACCTGATCTGCCTTCACAGGTACCCATTTACAGGTGTGCACATGTTAGATGTGTCTTCGACTAAGAGGGTAATGCATTACGCCAAAATGCACGTCTACATCAAGTTTACGAACATGTGTGAGTGTAGGGCCACTGCCATGATGGACTCTCCTCTGATTAGTCGACAGAGTACCGAAGCGTGACATCACTCGAACCAGTGTAGAGTATATGAATGTAGAACGTGCACATTTTGTTTCACACACTGGTTCTCGCTCTTATGCCTTTTACCCACTGGGTGCGTGACATTTTCACTTTGGTACTCTCTGGTGACCCTCTCTATATTTCAAGTACAAGTTACCAAAACCTTCCCACATCAAAAAAAGTTATGAACATTTTTTCATGATCCAATTATCACTGAAAAAAAAAAATAATAATCAGTCTGCAACCATTGCCCAAACACTCTTTGAGTCAGTATTTTACATACCATTCAACCATGTCTCATATTTGGTGTGGAAGTTGAGGGCAGTGTTCCAGAGCTGGTCGTATGGCTGCTTGGTGGTAAACATGGTACTCAGGATGGGGAACTGGCTAGGCTCCCACTCCAGCAGTTGCTCTTCCTTGTTGAGACCATCTAGCTCGTCCTGGGAGGCTTCCAGGAGCTGTTGCAGCTCGTTGAGACGGTTCACATTGGTCGTCATCTCGTCCATGCTCAGGATCTGTCAATGCAAGGTACTCGCCATCAAATGCCTCGTAAAAATTGAAGGGAATTCCCGCAAACAAACACAGCACGCCACACATGCACAGCACTTTATTGAGACTTTGTTGGTGAAGACCTAAGGTCAATTTACAGAGCTCCGTCAATATTAGCATTACTTGTAGGGCATTACAAAGCCTAGGAGTTCTTGTGCTAACAAACGTATAGAGACTTCCACATATTTGACACTGTAATCTTCATAGAACCACTGCCTGGGATTTGAGTGTGCCACTGCAACGCTTGCACAGGGAAATGTTAGTCAAAAGTTGACAATCCAACAAAGTGGCAGGGTTTCAATCAATGAACATAAGCTGAAATACAAGTGCAAAGTAGTTGAAAGTTTGACAGTGAAACACACAGCGCATACTGCACACTTCCTTTACCTTTCCTCGCAACTACATCCATCAAGATGGACAGGTGGATTCAAGAAACAAAAACAATATCATGCAAACATGAATGAATGAATGAATGAATGTAGCATAAAATATGTAACACTGCAATGATGGATGAAAAATCTAACCCAATGGATTTTACTTTCAAAGAGGAAAGGCAGCATGGACAATCTTTTTTGACAGACTACAAATTATAACCTGAGGGAGTCCAGTCTCTCGATAAGTAGGTTTGATAAGAATTGGTAGAGTCCATATTATACTGGTCTGGAATGGCATGCTTCTGGCTAACAAGGAGGCCAATGTGTCACATGTCATATCTACAGTGTATGTTCTATAGTGAAGGTTAACAAACCAATTGCCAGTACATTAAGATGCCATGTTGCACGCTGACACCCTGTTCATTATTCATCCCAACTCTCTACTTCACAAGCAGGTGTGTAGTTTGTGAGAAAGCTACCCAAATCTTTTCTTTAAAAAGTAAATTACTAAAAAAAACTTTCTTTTGTTAATACCAAACGGCTTGAAACAAAAGGACCATAGACCTCTCTGTGTTCTGATTCTGTTCCAATTTCCTGCGAGTTGACTGGCTAACATACCTCCTTCTTCCTGAAGGATTCTACTTCCTTGTTGTACTCGTTGAGCTTCTCCTCAAAGCGCTGCACCTTCTTCCGCACCTCCTCCTCGGCCTGTTCTCGTCTGGTCATCAGACGATTGCGGCACACCTCAAAGACTGTCTGGATGTGCTCCGGCCAGTGGAACACTGTGCTGTTGAGCTTGATGTCTTCATCTGTTGCAAAATGCAAAATGTACAGATAGGTAGACTCTGTTATTTATCTCATATCTGATGGAAGAAACGTTTGTATGACAGGCGACAAAGGAAGTGAGTCAAGTTGACAAATGAAGAGTCAAAGTAGACAAATACAGCGGAACATAAAGCAAAGCTTTTTCTTCTCCTTTTTATGCTTATTTGCTACTGCAATCACAACCCTTGATGAGAACAGTCGAGTTCCTTACATGGCAAGTTTGCATAGTCCAAGAGGAACATGAGGCGGTTGGCAGCTTCATCTATCTCATCCTTGAGTTTGAAGACGGTGACTTCGCTGGACTCTCTCAGGAAGTCTGACAGCTCCACAATCTCGGCAGTGGTGCTTGGCATCTCGCCGAGACGATCTGCGATTTCATCGTAACGACGACAGATTCTATAAAAAGAACACGGCAAAAAGAACATGACCAACAAGCTTAATTTGAGGAGATTGAATCCTGCACTAAGACTAGGATTTGAAACCAATCTCTCATTAACTATGCCAAATACTTAGTGATCTAACCTTCCAGTCATGGCATTTAACAGTAACGCACAACTTAATTGCCACGTAAGGTTTCCAAGGTGGAGAAGTAATTGATCAGCCCATCAGTGATTTATGAATTCAGTTCAAATCGCAATCTGGAACTGACCCTTTGTTAAGCATCCTGTTCTCATCCACCTCAAAGAGGATGAGCTTCTCCTTCAGCTTCTGGGCTCGGGAGCACAGGTCTGCATTCAGGAGGCGGCAGTCCAGGCAGAACATGCTGAGGGGCACGGTGATCCTCAGCAGGGCAATCTCATCTTTCAGCTGTTGGTAGCTGGCGATCTTCTTGACGAACCCCTGTAGGGAGTGCTTCTCCTTCAGGAAGGCTGCCACATCGGCGTCTGCCTTGGTGTTTAGCAGGTCATTGTATTTCTTATAGGTGTTCAGATACCTGAGGAGGAGAGCGATTTTAACCTTGGGGTAAAGTGCTTCAACAAACATATGCAGTACTCTAGGCTTGAAAATGATCATTTCTTCCATTAATTAAGGGCCAAAGCTACCAAATCTGACAAGTCGGATGTTGAGAGAAACCATTTATCTTAACCACTACCAGCA